CATGCACACACTCGCTTGTGACGTCTCTGACGGTGTACTGCAATGCATATCTGACGACCTCCGCACCGACATTTTGCGCATGACCGACGCACTCGCCAAGCCATATGACTATTACCATCACTATTGGGGAAAGGAATTACCCGGCTTCTCCCGCAAGCTGAAAGCCAAAATCATTCGCATCAAAGGCGAGCGGGACATCGAGTATGTTTTCATCTATGCCTCCGTATAAAGGGAAGCTTCTAAAAGGCTTCATTATTGATTCAGGACGAAACTTGATGAATCACCCGCCGACCGCGCGGGAAGGGAGGCGTCGGCGTCTTCAAACATGGCGGTCTCGCCACACAGTGCCGTCGAGGACAGGCTTTCCGGTGCACTTCGCCATCCAGGTGATGGTTTGCCAAAGCCCCACGCGTCTCCCTTGGAGACAGTTTCCTCCTAGGTCTTTGTCTTCAAGCGGTTTCCGCATGTAGACCCGCCCGCTGACACATTCCATCGCAGATCCTGTGAATCCTCCGCACGATATCCATGCTCCACGCCTTTTTCGTCGTCTCTTTTGCTGCTTAGACGTCTCTCCTCCGTCGGTGCCCTCGTACGTGGTGCGCTCTACGTCACGGCGATGCATATACGGTGGAGGTCACACCATATTATTTGCTCGCTAGCAATACCGGTGTTACTATCCCTCAAGTCTTCCCCAACACGATCCACTGAAACACTCGAACACGCCCGACCATACCTCATCCTTCGATTCCCTCGAATCCTCCCCTTCCCAATCATCCACCATCCTGAAGCCGTCTTCCTTCAGTTCTTCCCACCCGGTTCATGGTCTCATCGACGCCCTCACTGGGGTCTCCATATGGCTCATGCGCTCCACCTTCAACACATTGATTTCTCATTCTGTGTACTCGCAGACACCATCGCCCGGCCTCTCACCAGTGTTTCACGTTGTTAACAGATCCTGGGAAACTTTCGCCCTCACGGGCCCCCGACACCACTCACTCAACTTGTTCTCCGCCATCCAGAACGATCCCATCTCCCCTCCATGATCAACCACCGGCTATGCGCACACATCGCTCCCTCTGTCCTTCTGATCCCGACACATTCCTGTGCACCGTCCGCATCCCATGCTTCCTCCTCCCTTCTCTCATCTCCCCAAATCTTGATATGGCTCTCGTCTCATTCTTGGGTTCAGATCGTCATCCCGCTTTCTTACTACGTACGCATCCTCATATTCTTACTACGTACGCATCCTCATATTCTTGCAGTCCCATTCACGATCTTCTTGTTACAGTCCTCGCTTGAATTGTCTCGTCGTATACATTCCGTACGTGACAGCGGTGCAGTAGCGGCCCTCTCGTCTACGGCCCTTGTGCTAGCTCGAGTAGGCCGTGTCACCAATGTCGCTACCCGCTTTCCGAATTTTTGTTGTACCACCTACTGCGATTCCAGGCTCTCTCGTCATCCTTCTTATTTACATGTCTCTCGCACACCAGACGGCGGCCCTTCCTAAACTTTTACGCAGACTGGGTACGTGTGGAGCCGATTTTCATATATGTACAATACATGTCATACATACGACATGTCGCCTGCGGAGCTTCGTCAGACGGTGTATGCGGACCGTCGGAGGCAACGATGCGCATCTGAGTTGAGCTATACAGAGAGATGTAAGAAGACGAGCTCGGAAGGTACAGCATCGCGTGAGACATACCAGCGTTAAAAACACGACTGCACGTCCTGTGCGCGTCCTCTAAACGTCGGCCAGGATATGAGGCGCGTCGGTACCCTGAACGCAGCGCCGTAGCGCAGCTCGAGAGGTCTACGCGTGTCCCAAGAACAGCGCCGACTCTCTGCCGCCAGAGAGAGTACAATGAGAACGGATGCCTGAGAACTAGTCAGTCGTCTCGCCCGACAGAGCTGAATGTATGCGCCGACTCACTCCGTATTGTCGCACGCAGAGTAATAACCGCGGTCATGAGGACTCTGCAGCCTATAAAGCTGCGCTCGGATCGATTCAAGAAGCTATTTCCAATCAAGAAGCACGCCGTCGGACGAATGCGATCGCACACTCGATGTCAGCGTAGACGAGTGCGCGAGAGTGTTGCTTACCGCTGCGCGGTGCCCGTTGTGGTCCGAGACATGGCTTGATTTCACATAGAAGCAGTTCTGAAGGAGCTTTGGGGGTTCAATTGGCAATGCAATAGCAAGCGTAGATCAGATACAAAGGCGTACCGCGCCATGTCTGCGGGCGGATCTGCGACGCAGCTGCTACAAGCAATGTCCTTTTCCTTGTCGGTGCGCTGAGCACAGCCGTACAGGGCGAAATTACAGCCGCTGAATGCGAAGAATCTTCCATCGATCCATAATCTACGACAGATGAGCAGGATAGCGAGGTACGTACCAGGTCTTTGGGAGAGTGTGTGGATCTCGCATAGGCCCGGGGAGACCTCAGGCTAAGTGCGACGGTGGAAGGTATATTGTGAAGAGAGGTATAAATACGTCTGAAAACGTACATTCCACGTTAGTACACTCATTGGTATATCGGAGTGGTCGCAGGGGACATACCGGAAGTGTTCTGCCCAGTAGCGCCGCCGTCCGAGAAGCATCGCCCGCCAGTGTCGTTCTGGATACAGCGTTGTACGCATAGTGTTGAGGAGAATGAGGGACACGTACGCGTAAGCAGATGGCGCAGTACTGCGTTCCTGCTCCAATTGAGCATCCACGTGCCGGGAGACGCAGCTTTGATCCAGCGACGATGTCGAATATTCGCTTGAACGACACCAGGATAGGCGGAGGAGCTGTGGTGGAGCTCAAAAAGCGGAACCGCGGCTAGCTCGTCTCAGGTGAGGCGCAACAGACGCAGCTGAGAAATGTAGCGGCGGGGACGAGTGGTATGCCGTGGAAGAGACGTACGTGGTGGGAGCAACGAGCGATGACGCGCAGGCGGGCGCAGCGCAGCGAGAGAAGCACGGTCACGTGTGCGCGCGTCTCCCGCCAGGCCACGCAAGCGCCGTCGGTCGCCAACGCTCTGACCGCGACTCGATCTTCCTGCTCCTCGACGCCTCACTATAGCTCGCTCGCTGGTCTTTGTCTTGACTACGGGAACACGTCCTTTCCAGGGATTCAGATACACGCTTGAGCGGCACCGATGGCGCAGTGAACTCCCTCGCGGCTGGAGTACCGGCGTCTCGCGCGATCACTAGTACTGGGTGGATCCATCGGTACATTCACACATCCTCGTCTGCATTAATCCTGCTAATATTGCATGTGTTGCATTTCTATATGGCCTCTAGATGCGCCTACAGTCAGTTTCTCGCGCTCCGTTGTCTCCACCTCGCGGATGGGCCTGTCAAGACACCGTTCGTGGTCCCACGAGACGTAGATATATCTCCTGTTGGGCACTCTCTATCAGGCCCTTCACTCAACAAGAAGAGATCTAATTGCTCTGCGGTTTGTCGTATCTCTTCGATCGCATTGCTAACGTCGCTCTCTCTGAAGGCCCTATGTGTCACAGCCAAGCGTGCCACTTCACTACGTCTCCAATGCAAGCACAGACACGTAATGACAGTGTCTCTCCGTATGCTCCTCCACTATCTCCGCACAAACGCAGATTACACACGGCTGGATGAGCACACGCTGAACGCTACGCAACATCATGAGCCAACGACACCTCAAGCAAGGCACCTATACGCGGTTATGTGCATTTTTGGCGTGTGATTCCGGTGTTCCCTCTGGTACGTCGCTACGCTTCCATACGGTTGCTCCTGCTACGAGCTAACATCCGCGTTTTCCGCTATCTCCGACACCTGTCCGCGTCTCCTCCCTCCCGCTCTCGCGTTGGGACATGATTACAACGAAGAACAACGGTATGTATCTCCCCCGCGCATTTCCTTGCCGCATGCACGACGATAACGGAACACCCTCAAGTACTGACTTCTCTCTTGCTGACAGAGCGCAGGGCCTGCTCCCAAAATCTGCCTCCATGAACATCAAAAACGACGCCTTCATGCCAACTCGATCTCAGCTAGGAGCCTTGCGGAGGCCACCCTCGCCACACCCTCTCTCGGGCCTCAACGATCAGACGACTCCGATGTCACCCCCACAACTATCCGTCGGTGTAGGCCCGCCTGCTGCGAGGATTCGCGTGGATGACGCGCCACGGCTGAAGCACCTGTGAGTCATTAATGTATCTCGCCGACCGACTTAACGAGGCCGCGCACACATGTCCTCACAAGCAACTAGCAGGGCTGTGATCAGACCACCGACGCACTCTGTTCTGCGACTCTTCTCTGAGCATTCGTGGAGATCTTGGTGATAAATCGTATGGTAATTGTGATAGAAGTACCGTAGTGGACGGTGGACCGTGTTCATGGCTGTATGCGGGGAGCGCTGGCCGCATCGACTCGTTTCTGCTGTCCTAAGATACTTAGCTCAGAATATATTCGATACGCGTCACCGGGCATATCGTATGCATGAGTTGTAATATCGCTTCTCCGGTTGAAGCGAGCGAAGAGGTGATAGAAAAAGCAAAGGAACTCGAAGATGTAATTATATCATACAGGCGATGTATGTACGAGGCATGCGAATCGACCGTCAGCCAAAAGAAAGCGGTCCAGACGGATTCTGTGGCCCGCGCAGGCTTTTCTGGGAGCAAATAGTACGAACGCATATGGTGTCTGGAGATATGATAGCTGCTTTACGCGCGTCCTAACATGCGTTACTGCTCCCTCCAAAGACGGCGGATGCGAGCTGTCGGACACAGCCATGCTCGTATCACGCAGCGGTCCATCAGGAAGGCTAGGAACGGTTCGCAGCGTGCCTCAGGACACTACGGAGCACCCTTGATGCATGCTTCATGGGGGAACACGGCGTGGTAAGGGCGTGCCGTATGCGAGACCGTCCCCAGTGCATGTGTCCGGGATATGCTGCCCCGGGGTCATGCAGGAAGCCGAGACACACATCGGCGCCGCGAGACACCGTGATCAGTCCTGTTTCGCCATCCAGGGCTAGGCGTGTGCTTTGAGGGGTCGGCACGGGCCTTCCACTAGAGAGAGGGCCGAGGGGAAGTACCAGGGCAGAATCCTGAGAAGCTATCAGTCGTATAGATGTATTTGGAAGAAAGCGCGTACGTGCATGCGGGTTTTGGCGTTGTTGAAAGCATAGGCACAGAAGAAGTGACGCAATCTGCGGGAACTTGTAATGCAACATACGTAATGGCCGAAGCCTGAGATGCACCTCTGGTTAACATATCCGGGGCCAGACAGAGAGGACTGCTCACAGTGAAGATGTGTATGTGCCGACTACTCTTGCGAGATGTGGGTTTGACGGGTACGGCGCCCACGTGGTCAGATTCCTGGTAGGCGATGCCCTCGCTCTCGATCCTAATCATCTGTGAGCGCATCAGTCTATCTTCAACGAGTAAGAGGGAACGGTTGGGGAGACGTACATGGGTACCTGCGTCGATGAACACATTGGCGCAGTCGATGAACCACTTGGCGTCGCGCGTTCCTGCGCACTCGAGCTCCTTGACGGATGTATCGCCGCTCGTGCTCCATCGGACGTCGACCTCTTGAGCCCGGCAGTGAGCTCCATCAGAAATGCCCAGTCGTCCATGTGTTTAGGAAGAAACTTGGAGGAGATCGCGAGCACATCTAACCTGTAGCGAGAGGCATTACTGCTGAGAGAATGCGTGAGGACTAACGATCATGTGTGAACGCACCCCATGTTCGCCTTCTTGCAAGCGCTACGCTTCTTGGATATGATGGCCTTGCTATCGCCGAAGGTTGGCCAAACGCGCTTGATGAATCCTCCCGTGCTCAGGAAGCTGGGCGCAATATGCCTACCACCGCGCCGTGCAACCTGAAATAATATCTGCGCAGGCCCGTTTCCCCCGCGCGCGCGGTCTCTTCCGCGTACTCGTGCGCATCACTACGCCAGCGTCATGTTTTCCAGTGTTTGCGCAACATTTGAGGCGCGTCGGGACTGTGAGTGCGGGTGCAGGACACGACGGCGGTTGCGGTGTTGCAGCTCACGGCGTCCACGCACTTCGAAGGGGACGGCACAGGCCCTCTGCTGGCGGATGGAGTACAGCGAGGACAGGTACCTGAAATGCGGTTAGCTGTGGGGCGCGATAGAGCTGCATGAATGCGCCACTCACTCGATACGTCGCATGCCGAATGACAGTCACAGGACGCAGAAGTACGCTGCAAGCTATGATAAGGCGGTGTTCGGCCCGATCGGGGCAACGAATTCTAGTTAGGGCCAGACGAAGGAGACCGTGCTCGGAAGCAACATGCCGGACGTCGTGACATTGCCGGAACCTTCAGCTGATTTCGACTTTGGCGTGGGTTCTCTTTGGGTTCGTCTACCAGCGAAGGTACGGAGAGTTGGCAGCCGAGATGGAACGAGATTATCCAGCTGTGGGAATATAGGTGTACTACTTGATGATGCACGGCGTATTTGGGTGGATCTGCGACGCAGATGCTTTAGACGAAGGCTTCTACTTGTACGTACGTGGAGAGCGCCCCGCGACGGCGGATCCATAGCAGGAAAACGCATGGATACCATCAATATCGGGGGCCGTGGCGGGTGAGCAAGATGTTGAGGTACATACGGGAAACGTCTTCGGGAGGTGAGGGTGGAGCTCGCACACACGCAGGGAGACCTGAGAGCAATAGTGGAAAATACGCGGCGATGAGAGAACTCGTCTGAAAGAGTATCTTCCGCGTTAGAATACCCAGCTGTGTACCGCATTCGTCTCATGTGACGTACCGATGGTGTGCCGTCCAGTAGCGCCGCCCTCCGTGAGGCCATAGCCCATGGTTTCAAACTCAGCGTTGGATGCAAATTGTTGAGCTAGATGAGAAGGGTTTACTGTGGCGGGTCTATATGACTCCGTTCATATGAATAACTCGCATATCGGGATAAGAGAGAGTGGCGACTTTGTTTCAGCCACGGTGAATATTCGCCAGAACGACTGCAGGATAGGCTGAGGAGAACATGTCGAGTTCTAAAAGCGAGACCGTGGCTAGCTAGTTTATAGTGAAGCTCAAGCAGAATATGTGGTAACGGGGACGAGTGGTGCGCCGTGGAAGAGAGGTGGTGGGAGGAACGAGCGATGACGGGCGCAGGTGGGCGTAGGGCGGCGAGAGAAGCACGATCACGTGGGCGAGCTTCTCCCGCTTCGAGCGGCACCGGCGCAGTAAGCGCCGACGTCCTCACTCTCACCGCGACTCTCTTCCACGTCCTGCAAACAGTCTGCGCCTCTTCCACTGCTCTAGATCTGCATCTACCATGTGGTTACACATAAACTCTGTCAATGCAGAGGCTCCTTCAAAGCTTCACGCCCACGCGCAAAACTGGAGACCTCGCAAGTCCCCGCCTCAAGCTTCTCGTGCTATCACGCTAACCCTAGCCCCAGAACGCCCGCGTTCTGCACCAGCAGCAGAAGGTTTGCTGATCTCGCGCAGATTCTTCGAAGAGATCGACTACGTTATGCGGTGAGTACTGGTATTTTCTACTTGGCGTACCCTGACTGAACACTCGGGTCTCCGCGTTCCGATTATCTAGGATATCTTACATATGCGGAACAGAGGCTCGGTGCTGCCTGCTCTTCAGCTGTCTAGACCGACGCCGCACACCGCAGTGACTCCACGTGAGGTCCCAGCGCCGTCAACCCTCCCGCGGCTCAATACACAAGCGGGACAACGAGGTCTACACTACTTCCCGTCAAACGCAAGGGCCCATGCTCTCTACCTACCCAGATCAGCGAAACCCTGTCAGAGAATTGCGCATCGTACCGGTCCTTGAACCTAGAACACCTCACCAGCGGCAAAGAAGTGGACGATAAGACGCGTCGAGCCCCGTGAGTAGCTACTGCACTCGAACGACGACTAGCTAAATTGTTCCATTTGTGTTAGACTGACCCGGCGGCCTCGCGCTCCTCGCCTTAGTCGTGACTGACATGACGCGCGGTCTTTCGCCGTACTCTTCGGGTTGCGTCTGGCCTATACAGTGCGCTCTCGGGCTACGCTTCTCGATGTTCCACGATACGGACAGTGTACTCCAGCTCGAGGGTCCGAGTGAGTATCCGCAATGGTGGATCCCCTTCGAATCACTCTCACGCCTCGTTTTAGATCCCGTTCTGCGTCGTCTGCGTCGATATCAGTGAGCACTTGCGCGAACTCTGCTCCACCTGACGGATGAGGTTGACATCGATGCTCTCTCCTCCACGTACATCCGGCCTGCGGTAAGGGGCCCTTGCTCCCTATGACTTCCCCATCCGCTCATCCTGTATCAATACAGCCCTATGTGGTGTACAATTGCACGCCCTGTAGAGCTGAAATTGTATCTACCATTTGTGCGCTGTCTCGAGGACAAAGAGTATTGAAACAGGTTACGGCAGCAAGCGAGCGAAGCGACGGCGAGCGAAGCGTAGGCGGCACGAGATAAAGAACTGACATTCAATGGTGCTACTGAACGGAGCGTGTACGCGACGTAAATAAGGTTTCGGCGCGCTCCGAGCTATACAGCTGTCATCGGAACGCGCGGACCGTATGGGCGGCTATTTACACTTCAACAAAGAGAACAAGGATCACGCTGAAATGGGCGCACGCAGCACGTCTCCATTTCTTATGGCGCGACAATCGAGCGAGCTATGCAGCTCATCTTCAGGAGCTACACCATGTAAGTTTTTTGGAAGCTCGGTGCATACGCGGCGTTCATTTAAATGGTACGGAACATCCGCGGCGGTCACTCGCGGGCCGCTCTCTCAATGTCTGCTTCGGCCTCAGCCTTTACTCAATCTTGACCTAAATATCACGCCAAACCTCCCGCAAGAGCCCCGTGGTGGAACGTTTCGCAAACTGCCCATTTATTCCGCGCAAAACGTGCGTGTACATGGTCTTCTTTCGGATATCGTCATGACCTACGGGCCGCACTGTAACAGCTATGTGCTCCTCTTGTTTTGTCAGAAATATCGATGCAAGCCGCCTCCGGACTCTCAAGTGGAAGCGGGAACCGAGCGTCTGGTATGCGTCTAACCTACCCGGTCGTGTTGCCCTTTCCTCGAACCGAGTACCCTGTACAGTGCAGCCATGATGAAACACCGCTGACATGGGCACAGGGTGCTGATACGTCTCGGAATGCGTCATCCGTGCTCAGTGCACTCGGTAGTTGTGGGGACGCCACGGCCATATCCCGATTATAGCTATCCGTGCATATTCGAAAGGGCGTGGGGTGAACCCGAGTGGTGCATGGTCCCCCCTAGCACTAACACCCTGTACGCGACTTGTAAGTATAGCAAGGAATGCGTGTGTGAATGACGAAGCGCACCTTCCGAGGCGGCTATGAGAGCATCGAGAGCGAGCACGGCCACGCCTGCGACAATACGGCAGCATTGCGGGACGACGCAATCGCAATCCGCGACGACGAAACAGCAGTCTGAGACCAGAGCTCGGCATTCCTCAGCCTCAGAAGAGCGCTCGGGGAACTCAGGGCGGATGGGTGGTCCCGCAGCACGTCATTCTTGCATTCGAACGTGTCGAAGGCGGCTCTCCGGCATCGCGGGGATGACGCCGGGAGGCGGGGCATGAAGTTGTTCTGGAGCGTCTAGGGCTACAGCTACAGCAGAGGAGAAGTGGTGGGTACGCGGCTGCCACTAGTGATAGCCTAGACGCGCTGTCTAGCTCCCCAGGACTGCAGCTCAACGCCCCCGCACGCACAGGTTAGGAAGACATGCGAGTATAACCTCTATGCTGACACACGCATCGAGAAGCGCATCGTCCAGACCCCCAACGGTGTGGTGGCGTGTGTTCCTGAGCATTAAAGAGGTCAGACTTCGCGTACATGACATACAGAGACGAGAAGAGAGACGCACAGAGACTTCCGGTCGCGGCGCACTCCCTTCCGCATAGCGGCCCGCATACATAGTCCGAGCAGCAGCTCGCATGCCGAATTTCCCCGTTTCGAGCGTGGAAGCTTTCCTACTACTAGTCGTGCTCTTGTACACAGGGCGACGTGTTGTGGATTTGTGCGGGCACAGATCCTCGCCTGAGCGGTATTGACATAGCCCTTTCATGGGGAAAACACGATCAACGGACAGTGTATAGCTGGCGGCTTGGAGGGAAGTGACCTTATGCAGAAACGAATGACAGGTGTCTGGATCTCGACTGTGTGAGCAAACAACGCGGTGAGTGCTGACCGGAAGGGCCGGGAGGTGATGAATGTCTCCTCTCGAGCTCGTGGAGGGATGTGGGGAGCGGATGAACTCGATCCGTGGGTCGTTATGGCATGAGGACATCGTCGGAGGGCCCTTGCGGCGGCGCGAGTGTTCGGGAAGTGAGCCGGGGATATGAATCGGACAGACGAGGGCAGCCATAGGAGAGATGTTCGCCTGATCGAGTGCATGTTGGTGCGCACCTATGTATGATCGTTGCATGCATACGAAGGACGAAGGAGGAGATTGGCGAAGAGAAGGAGCGGCACTGGACAGGGAGAACGAACCACAGTGGAAGTCGAGAGGTGGATGAAGCCTACGAGACACCGTCGAGAGGAGACCCAGCGTGTGCACCGTGTGAGCGGTACCGGTCCCCTGGATCGCGACCAGCACCGAAAGTATCATCAACACCGGAATGTGCGGACGGGACTGTGGCGCCTTCGACAGTGGCGACCTCCGTCGCTGTTGGCTCAGCAGGGACTGTCTCAGGAGATCTTCTGGAGGTGCAAGAAAGCTCGTGAGCGACTCGTATCTGAGTAGAGAGATGTAGTACTGACGGCGTCTCAGATTTGCATTTCACACGGACGATGGTTTCCATAAATGTGCGTGCGTGCTTTTGAATCCCCTCCACATAGTCATCGTCGACATAGCCGGAGGCCGATGCGAGTCTCTCCATCAAGCGTAGAATGTCTGGCAAGAGATCGTCCGGAATGCACTCTTCCACATGTGCTGGATCGAAGTAGCGAAGCGTCCGCATAAGATCGTCGAGATGTGTCGACACTATCACGGTCCGCACCTTGTCCTCCGCGAAGAGTTCCAGCAGCGTGCGCGTCAGCTCGGCGAGAACGTCCCGCGCGTAGGTACGAACGGTGTCGAGGTCGTCGGCAGGCAGGGAAGATGCTAAGGCTGGATCGGCGCACCCCAAGAAATGGTCGATACTTTTGATGAAGCCCGTATGAGCGTCCTTCGCGTCGTCCGAAGACGCCGAGGCGAGGCGGGCCTGCTTGAGGCGAACCTGGCAATATGCGCCGGTAACGGCTGTTCAGGAAGCGGATCAGTTTACGCAGAGTTCCACAAGGAGAAATTGTCACACCTGGCAGCAGTACATTCGTCAGAGGTTGCTCGCGCCGCACGGCATTGTAGATCAAGGACGACCTCTTCAGTGTGAGACGACCCTGGTCGATGAACGCTGCCTTGAAGGAAGCCCCTGCAGCCTCTAGGTGGTCCGAGATAGCATCGCAAGCAGCTGTCGCCCATTCTGCGTCGGCCGCCCGCATACCGGACGCCCACAATCCGAATCCGAAGTAGACGCCTAATGCAGCCGCTTCGTCGTCCGACAGAGGCGATTGATCCCCAAGCAGCACGCAAAGGATGACGTGCAGCCATAGCAGCTGCTGCTGGTTCCTCCACCCCAGGGGACCGCTGTCCAAGTCCGCCGCAGGACCGAAGTTCTCTCGGACGGATGTGTGAAGCTTCCGGAAGTAGTCAACGACGTCCTGATGGTAGCAGTCCATGAGGCACACGGACGCGGCAGAGAGGGCGTCGGGGTGCAAGGTCGCGCTGTATGCCTCCAGGAGGATTTGCTTGTCCAATTCGTGCGCGAGTTCGTCGATGGCCGATCGTTCTCGCCCCTGCCATGTCTGTTTGCGGGCTCTCCAGGTTTCTGGTGGCGAGGGTAACTCGCTCAATCGTCGAGCTGCAGCCCGCATCTTGCGCCACAACACTTTCCAGTAGACTAGTGATGCATACGAGCGGAGACATTGGCACAAGATGGACAGCATATGCGGTGCGATGGTGAGGAACGCTGCAACATCGCGACGGCGCCGTGATATCGAGAGACACACCCAGAATGCAAAGCACTTCGGCTGCCAAAGAGCGTAGAGGGTGCGAATGTGGGGCGAAAGATAGGCGCATTTGTGATCGAAGAGAGGGAGCAGCGTGGTGACAGCGGTGAAGGCGGCAAGGAGCCCCACGAGCGTCGACGCGACGGCGGCGACGGTGCTGTGTAGGTTCCAGAGAAGGACGAGCAGCCCAGAGAGAAATAAGGCGAGGGACAGCTGGAGCAGAATGGGGATAGTACCGACGACATCCTCTACGTGCCATCTTTGCAGGTTATGCAAGCGATACTGGCGCACCCGGGCGATAGGACGGGAGGTCCCGGAAACACCGCTGCCGTACTCATTCAGCCATTGTTTGACCATGATGCCTACGGAGGCTGAGGTCAGGCTGAGTATGAGTCCCGAGAACCACAGCGCGTTGAGCCAGACGGCCCAACGCGGGGCAGGGGGCGGGGTGTTTGCGTTCGTGAGGCTGGAGTTCGACGGCTGAGTGGAATTGACGAATGGAGGATTGATCGAAAAGCTATCAAGCTGCGAGGAGATCCGTTGTAGAACAGCGATGGATGGATCGGGCGCTGCGGGCTGGAGGAGAAGGTACGACTGTACGTTGAAAGCGGTAAGGATGGCGGAGAATAAGCCCGCCTGGAAGATGATAAACCACTTAATGAAATAGGCGTAGACCGGTGAAATACATACAAAGACGAGATAGGTATCAATCTCCTTGTTCCATCGGGCGATCATGTCGTCGCTGTAGCTCTGAACCATTCCCGCTGCATCCGTCCATGCATTGGTCTTTTGCTCTTCCGTGTACACGTTATATTTCTTGGAGCACACGTCCTAGATGGCAATTAGACTGCATTCATCACGAGATACTGATAACACACCCATATAGGCACGGTTTCCGGGATTGCAGGACGTGTATATGCCGCTTGTACGTCCTCCTTCCCATTCTTCCGAAGGGGATTCTTCACCTCTACCCGAGACGGCGCCGGGTTGGCAGAGCTGACTGAGAACGGCTGAGCGAGTTCGCCAACAGACACCGAGTTTGATTCGTGAGCCATAGACGTCAAGACAAAACACTCAGAAGCCAAGCCTGGTGTGCGCGGGTGAGGCAGAGGAGGAGTGCGCAGGTTGTGCGCGCTGTCGCGAAGCGTCAGCTGCGGCCTTTCCCGGCTTTTGGCTTTCCGGTCCGGTCCGTGCGGAATCGCGTATGGGCGTCTCTTCGTTGCCTCACTTACACCGCGATCGCGACTGGCAGCAATATCGCTCACACCATGCTCTTGCTCTCGTCTCCATACATCCTTGGTCTATAACTTATCGTGGAAGGGGTAACATCTGCATGCAATGAGCCCTAGTCAGAAGGGCCACGGCGTTATCCCTGCCCAGTGATCTTCTCTCCCCATTTGTCTTGCCTCGGTACCTGACCACATCTTCTGCACACTCTGGTTTTACTTATGAGGACTTTTCTTTCGTTCCTCGCGTCTTCTATGCGGTTTGGTTAAAGCATTAGATCTCCAAATGCAACCCAACGCCGTGAAGTGCATACTCGGGATGATATGTAATCGCCCAGGTACGTCCCCGTTCAAAAGCGTGCAATGCATCGGCGGAGCGCTCTGCTAACACAATATACTCATTTCGCTTCCGAAAAGGCCCAATGGTCCTTACATCTGGATCTGGACCTTATCGTTCGACGCTCTCGGTGACCCCGGCGACCTAAATATTGACGTTCACATTTCGATATGAGCTGGTCTCAGGTTTTTCATCCGAACGCAAGCCACATGTACGAGACCTTGACATTTTTCGTAGCCTCCATTGCCACCTCTGGCGACGCCTCTTAAAACGTGCACACGACGTTGCACTATGCACCTGTGAAGATAAGTGCCTCGACCCGCTCGCAGAATCAGCTTTCTCTTTTCTACTCGTGGTGAGTCCTCGCCCCCAGCCTCAGTCTCGCCCGGTTTTGCTCCTGTATACCTGTGGATTGATTTCACGACGTTATTTAGACCTTCGTCGTGATGTGATATCTTTTCTGATTGTGAATGTCATCGCCGACTTGCCTTCTTCGAGCCCACGCCGCATGCCTCAGTGCTCGGAGGAGGACGGTGTGGTTACTAGGTTCGTAACTTGGAAGTCACCTCACGCGCACCCCCGTCTGACACGTCTGACATCCTGTGCATAGACACGAGTCCCAGCACCTCGACTCCGCAATCTGTCGCAAGCCCTATACGCATGTCAAGCGAAAGTCTGTGCTGCACTGACTGGCAATTCCGATGCACTATGCGTCGGCCAGCATATTCGTCAGATCGATACCCGTCTTCAGTACCCCCATCGGCGCGTTTGTCAAACGTATTCCCCGTCGTCCCGGGAGGCACAGTTCAGGCGTTCGAGGCGCCTATTGAACACACTGCGTTTGCCTCGAACAGCGAACTCGTCCTCTACATGCAATTTGCCCCCACGGGCATGCCCTCTACGTCGCCTGATGAAGGCGCATTTTCGCGCTGACCAGCAGATTCCGGGCAGCACTAGCGCGCACGCGTCGCAACAAGACATGTTCCGCCGCGGTACGGATCCGATGTCAGTGCTGGCAACGCATCGATGCAGAAGCACCGCCTCTGTTCACGGCGGCCTGTCATAGTCAGGATTTGGAGAGCGTCTTTTGGGCTCAATAAGGTAGCAGGATCTGTTTGGGCTAAACCCTAAACTGACGTCTGTCATAGAACCGGAGAAGGGCCATTTGCAGTGCCATACCCGCTGTGCCACTCACCTCTTCCTCTAGGCTTTCAATATTTCGACCCTCCACGAACTACGCCCCTCTCTCCCGGGACTCGAACTAATCTTGCCTTACACATCCTTCACCTAAACACCCGCTTCTACATGTCCCAGCTTCGCACACCGGATTCTCCCTCGTCTGGTACGTTGACCCAAACGCCCGTACTGAGTGACCCGGGACCATCCGGAGGAGTACCCCTTGCCGGCGCAGAGCAATGCACGCTTGTGAGCATGTTGTCTAACTCTGCCTAACACCATCTAAGAACTTTTACTCATAGCACGAGCATTCGGTAGAAGGACGTGCGACATCGAACTCCCCTGAAATCCCTGCTAAAGCATCCCTCTGGGTACGTTTGAGGCTATGCGGCGGTCTCTGTCTGACAGATGAATATGTAGGATGTGGACGACAAGCGAGACGAAGTATACACCCAGGCGGAGAAGACAGAAGCATGGACAAGTGCGGCACGGATGGTGGAAATGTATAGCGAAGAAATGATAAAGCGTTGGAAAGAGGAGATAGACACATACCTAGTCTTCGTAAGTGTTCGAGCAACTCCACGACTAACAATCACTCGGTTGACCAAGCCATGCTCTTGAAGGCGGGACTATTCTCGGCTGTCCTCACCACATTCAACGTGCAGTCGTACCTCCTACTTCAACCAGCTGCGCCCGATCCCTCGATTGCCGTCTTGCGGCAGATCGCTTCGCAACTTGCGAGCTTGTCTATCAACTCCCCACTCGTCAACACCACCACCACTCAGACTTCCGGTAGCGGCAACTCCAATTCGAATACCCCACCCGTTGTGCCGCGATGGGCGGTCTGGCTCAACGCCTTGTGGTTCTCCGGCCTTATCCTCAGCCTGACGTCTGCCTCCGTAGGCATCATGGTCAAACAACGGCTGAACGAGTACAGCAGCGGTGTTTCCGGGTCTTCTCGTCCCGCTGCACGGGTGCGCCAGTATCGTTTGAACAACCTCCGAACCTGGCGCGTCGAGGACATCGTCGGAACGATTCCAATCTTGCTCCAACTCGCCCTCGCTCTGTTCCTCGCCGGAATTCTCATTCTCCTCTGGAACCTGCACGCCACTGTTGCGGCCATCGCGTCGACCCTCGTGGGACTCCTTGCGGTCTTCACCGCCGTTACTACGCTTCTACCCCTGGTCAACCCCAAGTGCTCGTACCTCACTCCACAGGTACGCGCGCTCAACTCCGTGTGGCAACCAAGGCGATTCATGTACGGGGTATGTAACTCATTGTCCACGTACTGTCGCACGTCCGCCAACATCCTCAGTACGCTCGGGTCCACCATTCTTCCCTCCTTGGAATCACGTCTTCATCAACGCTGCGTGTGGTTTCCCCGGGCCATACGGAGTGCTATACAAGGGACGGGGTCTGCTTTTTCTCGTCTAGAGTGCGCCATTCAGCGGCTAGAGACTTGGAAAGCGCACAAGCAGACCTGGCGGGGACGGGAGCGGTCGGACATCGACAGGCACGCAGGCGGTTTGGACGTCCAAATCCTCGTCGAGGCCTACAGCTCTACCCTACACCCCGATGCTCTTTCCGCTGCCACCGTGTGTCTCATGGACTTCCACTACCGGGACGTCGTCGACTACTTCCGCAAGCTCCACAAGTGCGCCCGGGAGCACTTCGGCGCTGCCGCGGACTCCGAGGACGGTCCCCTGGGATATGGGAACCAGCAGCGGCTGTTGTGGCTCACGATAATCCTGTGCACACCTCTGGCAGACGACTCGCCTCTATCGGACGACGAGGCGGCCGCCTTGGGTGTCTATTTCCGATGTAGCTTGTGGCCGTCCAGTATGAAGGCCGCCGACGCGGAATGGGCGGTGTCGAGTTGCAATGCCCTGATGGACCATCTCGAGGGCGAAGGGCCTCGGAGCCGGGACGTCAGATCCATTGACCAGGTTCGACTGCGATGGATGCGAGGTCAGCTGATTCGCAGCGCTATGCGTCGCGAGCAACCTCTGGAAAGCGTCTTGTTACCAGGTAATATCATTCATTCTCGCCGAGTCCTGCATGTACTGATCTGTAACCTGACTGGCAGGCGTCACTGGGCTGTATCGTCAGGTTCGCCTGAAGCACTCGTATTTGGGACGGACGCCCTCGGACGACGCGAAGGCCGCTCATGCGAGCTTTCTGCAGAGCGTCGATCACTTCCTGGATTGCGCCCACCACGTTTTCGCATCAGCTCTCCCCTCCGAACGACTGGAGACGGTTCGCGCTTACACGCGCGATGTCCTCGCTGCGCTGACTCGCACTATGCTGAAGTTGTTTGCTGAAGATAGCGTGAAGACGATCATAGAGTCGACGCATCTAGACGACATCATGCGGAAGCTTCGCCGTCTCGACGATTCTCGCTTGGAAGAAGACATCGCGGACGATCTCGTTCCGGACATGTTGCACTTAGCAGGGATACTTCAAAGGGCCTCCGGCTACACCAGCAACGACTGGGTGAACCAGATCCAGGCGTCTGCGCGGGCGTTCAAAGAAAACATCATTCGTGTCAAGAACAGACCTGGAACGACGTATGTATTCGTCTATCACTTCTACCTAGGCAACCTTGCTTATGATATTTACCTCAGAATGGGTGCGGCAGCGTCTGAGAGTGTGTTCCGTGCACCCTGCGGTTGAGGTATTTGCCGACAATCCACATGACACTTCTCCGTACATCAAAGCACTCTCGTATTCCTGTGCATCCTCCCTTCGAGTCAGAATCACGACTTCCGGAGACGCAAGCGCTTGTTTCTAAACGTCAGAATGTGAATGCTAGCTGCTTAAATCATGGTACATGGTACATGACACATGCACTATACTGTAGACTCCGCATCCGGCACAAGTACCCAGTCCTGTGAAGAGAAAGACTGCCGCACATCATGCGGCGGTCATGGTTTTCTCGCGGCCAGCACCGGGAAGGCTAAGTGCTGTGTGTTTTTTGGATGGAGATACACAATGCGGGGACATCGTGGCTGTATGGGATCGGCGAGGCAGGCAGTACTGCAACCAGTGCGGGTCTTTGCCGCGAAACTTGCAAGTGTTGTTTCCGTTACGCGGTGATGTGGAGTTTGCCAACACGTTGTTCTCCGCCCTTCCAGCTACATAGCGAACATCTGTGTCGCCAGCCGTACCAGACGGCCGCGCAGCCTAGCGCCAAGTGGCTCGTGGGCTGCGCGTTCAATGCCCGTGTCTCCCAAGGCCGTGGTTATTGCGAGGCCAGGGCACGTATACGGGACAGCCGTCCACTATAGCTCATCCTACCCGAAGGACGCGGTAGGTGGGCGGTAGGTGTGAGTCTGGGCCACGAATAGAACCTGCACAAGACCAAAACATACCATTTAGTTTCATACAGTGCGCATCACGGTGGAAACGCCGAAGAATAGAGCGTCTGCACTCGTCGTGGTGGACTGAACCCTAAGCTGGGCGTCTTGTATAGAAGCCGAGGACACGAGGAGAGGGGCCACCTCCAGCGCTCGCCTTCTCGCCCCATATGCCAGTGTCTTTCAGCATATCCCTCGTAACGTTCTCCCCAAATCTCCCGTCGCCACACGTACTGCATCTCGATGTCTGAGCACCACGGATCGGACCCACTCTCAATCGAAGGACCATCTCAGCCGCTCCCGGCGCACGACCCCGTGACTTCCGAAGGAGAGCTCCCCGCAGGAGCAGAACGACGCGAGACCGTTAGTACCTTGGCTCGTGCTCGCTCTGGCGGTATCTAACGAGTCCATCCCTGTAGAAGGATGTACCTGAAGTGGAGAAGACGGGACAGACCCGCCCGAAGATTCCTCCTCAAGTTTCTTTCGGTGTACGTGCTCCATACTGTTTATTTGCACTCTCCTAACAACCGTCTAGGATATGTGTTGGAAAAGAGACGAAGTATACGCACAAGATGAAAAGACGAAGGCGTGGTCAGATGCTGCGGGGATGGTTCAGACATATAGCGACGAGATGATTAAGAGATGGAAAGAGGAGATTGACACTTACCTCGTATTCGTACGTCGTCGTAGCATCGCCTCGCATGAGTCGACATTATTAAGCAAGGAGCACTCTCATAGGCGGGTCTGTTTTCTGCCGTCCTCACCACGTTCAACGTGCAATCGTACCTCCTACTCCAGCCCGCTGCCCCCGATCCCTCCATCGCTGTGTTGCAGCAGATCTCCTCCCAACTCGCGAGCTTCTCAAACCAGCCTCCATTCGTCAACTCGACTCAACCTCCGAGTACCACCCGCACAATTGTGAACACCCCTCCTCCTGTCCCGCGCTGGGCCGTCTGGCTCAACGCCCTGTGGTTCTCCGGCCTCATCCTCAGCCTGTCCTCCGCGTCGGTAGGCATCATGGTCAAGCAGTGGCTCAACGAGTACAGCAGCGGCGCCTCGGGGACCTCCCGTCCGGTTGCGCGGGTGCGCCAGTATCGCCTTAACAACCTTCGAACGTGGCGCGTCGACGACATTATTGGTGTCATCCCCATTCTTCTTCAGCTTGCCCTGGCACTTTTCCTCTCCGGAATGCTCATCCTCCTCTGGACGCTCCACGAGACCGTTGCTGCCATCGCATCCACTCTCGTTGGCCTTCTTGCCATCTTCACCGTGGTCACCACGATTCTCCCCCTCTTCAACCACAAGTGCTCCTACCTCACCCCCCAAATCCGTGCAGTCAACGCCGCTTGGCAGCCAAAGCGATACACCTACTGGGTCTGTGATACAATGTTTCGTAAGCGCCACGGTGTGACCGCGATCCTCACGTACACACGACACAAACTATCCACTTTCTGTCAGCGCATTCGCGTGTACGTCTCGTTAGATCACTGGAGATCTCTGTGGCATCGGACACGGGAAACGACTCAACAACTGAGGTCTATATCCTTCCCACCAGAGGCTTGGAAAGAGAGCAAGAAGACATGGCAAGGGCGGGAGCGGTCCGAAATCCACAGCCTCGCACGTGGCCTGGACATACAAACCCTCGTCGAGGCGTACAGCACCACTCTATCCCCGGACGCCCTCTCTGCCGCCTCCGTGTGCCTCATGGACTTCCGCTCTGACGAAGTCGTCGACTACTTCCAACAGCTGCACAAATCGGCCCGAGAGCACTTCGGCCCTGCGGCGGACTCGGGGGACGGTCCTCTCGGGTACGGCAATCAACAGCAGCTGCTATGGATTCAAATCATCTTGTGCATACTTTGGTGGCCTTTTCGGCCTCTGTCGGACGACGAAGCGGCTGCCCTAGGTGTCTACTTCGGTTATGGATCGTGGTCGTCCAGTCTGTCCGGTAACACCTTGTCAGGATATGACATCAGTACATGTAGTGCTCCGGGAGGACGGATGATCTCACCTGGCAGCAAGACGTTCGTTAGGGGTTTCTCGAGACCCATAGCGCCCCCAATCAGGTATACTCTCTGGATTCCAAGCCGTTGTTTGTCGCGGAGCTAGACTCGACGCGACCAGGCAACGCCTACAACAAAGAAACTAATACGATCTAACCCAAGGGCGGCGAGCGCGAAGGCTTGCTAACGCCGAGCGTAGACTTTCAAGTCAAATCTAGCCCAAGGACCAAGTTAATATTATGCTGACTAAGAGAATACAAAGGACGGCTTACCTAGCCCAAGGACCAAGAGGTCAAGATGAGGGCTAGGGTCGCTACAGGTGGGGTTTATATACTGAGTCAGGGGAGCCAAACATGTACAAACGTAAAGGTGGTCTGTGCGCACATTAGTGCCAGTCTGCAGGTGGGGGTCAGGTGACTGGTCACATGCTTCTAACTACTGGTTCTAAGTCTAAGTGTCGTACGAATGGCCGTAGAAAAATAAGGAAAAATGCGGAAAAATATAGGGGTCTCGTCGTCTCCACGACATTGTTGGTCAGTGAACTTCAGCTTAGAAAAAGGACCCTCGGACTCGAAGTGGTCGGAAATAGCATTGCAAGTAGACAGTGCCCATTCTGCGTCGGCCGCCTGGCATACCGCCAGGTTCGCCTCAAGCAGTTGCACCTTGCGGAGGCGCGTTCGAACGACACGAAGGACGCTCATAAGAGGTACCTGCAAAGTGTCGCCAACTTCCTGGTGTGCGCCAATTACGCCTTGAAATCATCCCTCCCCGCCAAGGACCTGGAGCCCGTTCGTGCCTACACGGGGGACGTTCTTGCAGAGCTGACTCACGTTCTGCTCCAAATCTTCGCTGCAGACAAGACCCAATTCGTTCAGACCACAGTTGATGCAAGGGATCTCTTGGACATCATGGAAATACTCGCTAGCCACGTCTCTGACGGTGTACTGCAATGCATATCTGACGACCTCCGCAAGGACATTTTGCGCATGACCGACACACTCGCCAAGACCCATGACTATGACAACAACATTCGGGGGAGCTATATACCCGGCTGGTCCCGCAAGCTGAAAGCCAAAATCATTCGCCTCAAAGGCGAGCTGGACGTTGAGTATGTACTCATCCATGCCTCTGCATATTGGGTAGCTTCTAAGTGGCTTTATTATCGATCTAGAACAAAACTTGGTGGATCATCTGCCGGCCCTTCGGGGACGGGGGCGGCAGCGTCTTCGAACCTTGCGGTCTCGCCAAACAGCGCCGTCGCAGACAGTCTTTCCGATGCAGTCGCCGATCAAGGGGACCGTTTGCAAGAGCCCCATACGTCTTCCCAGGAGACGAGTTCCTCATAGGCCTTCTTCCTCAAGCGGCTCCCGCACCCGTACGCTGACTCAAGCACGTAGGATGTAGACCCGCCTACGCCGTGTTCTCGGTCCTTTTTTGCTACTCTGATGTCTCTCCTCCGTCGGTGCCCTCGTATGTGGTACGCTCTACGCCGCGGCGAAGCCTATAAGGATGCGGTCGCATCACATCATTCACTCACTGGTGATACCGGTGTCCTTTTCCGACATATCTCTCCTGTTTGCGCGAACACGCTCCACCGAAACACTCCAACGCACCCAATCGCACTTCGTCGACATCCTTCGATTCCCCTAAAATGCTCCCCTTCGAAATCATCCACCATCTTGAAGCCGTCTCTTCTCGCTGTCTACCCTGTTCAAGACCACAGCGACGTCATCGCTCGAGTCTCTAAATGATTGATGAAGCGGTCCAATACAACTCGCGGATATCCCGTCCTGCTTACTCGAAGACGCCATCGCCCGGGCCCTCACATGTGCTCAAAATGTTCCATATCTCCCCGAAAAATTCGCCTTCATGGGCTTCCGACGCCGCTCACTCAACCCGTCTTCCCCCATCGATAACCATCCCATTTTCATTCCACGATCGACCACCAGCGTTGCGCACACATCCGCTCTCTCGGCCCTTCTGATCCCTACACGCCGCCGCGCACCGCTAGCGTCCCATGCTTCCTCCCCTCTCGATATGCCCTTCTTCTCTCTCTCGGGTTCCGCCTCCACACCTTCTTGGAGTTTCATTCACGATTTATATATCCCAGTCCCCACTTGCTCCGCCTCGCTGTATACATTCCGCAGTTTTTGACAATTGTACGATATCTGCCCTGTCGTCGATTATTCCGTGCTAGTTTGAGTATGCCGTGTCACTGATATCGTTACCCGATTTCCGAGCTTCTTGCTGTACTATTTACTCGATTTGTCCACCTCATCCACGCACCTCTGGCGCAACAAGAGACCCTTCTGTTATCGTCCCCGAGATCGAGTACGAGCGGAACCGATCTTGATATATGTACAATACTTGCCAAGCATACAAGGTTTTACCTGCAACGCTTCCTCGGACAGTGTATGCGGACCGTCGGAGGCGGCGATGCGCGTCCGACTTGAGCTATACAGAGAGATGTAAGGAGACGAGCTCGTAAGGTACTGCATCGCGTGAGACATACCAGCGTTAAAAACACGACTGCACGTCCTATGCGCGTCCTGCAAACGTGGTCCCCTCTCTCGGGGAGGATATGAGGTGCGTCGGTGCCCTGAACGCGGGTGCCGAACGCAATTGCGGGCGCCGTAGGGCAGCTCGAGAAGTCTACGCGCTTCCCAGGACAGCGCCGACTCCCTCCAGCCAGAGGGAGCACAGCGGGAATGGATGCCTGAGAACTAGTCAGTCGTCTCGCCGATAGAGCTAAAGGTATGTGCCGACTCACACAGTATCGTCGCAGGTAGAGTAATGTCCGCGGTCATAAGTACTCGGCAACCTATAAAGCTGCGCTCAGATTGATTCAAGGAGCTATTTTCAGTCAAGAATCACGCCGTCGGACTGATGCGATCGTATACTCGATGTCAGCATAGACGAGTGCGCGAGAGTAATGCCTACCGCTGCGCGGTGACCGTTTTGGCCGAGGATATTGCTTGATTTCAGATAGAAGCGGTTTTGCGAGAGCTTTGGCGGATTAGTTGTCAATGCAACACGAGCTTAGAGATACATAGGCGTACCGCGCCATGTGTGCGGGCAGATCTGCGACGCAGCATGTCCTATTCCTTGTCAACGTGCTGAGCACAGCCGTGCAGGGCGGATTTACAGCCGTTATATGCGAAAAATAGGCCATCGAGCCAAAATCCATGACGGACGAACAGAATAGCGAGGTATGTACCAGGTCTTTGGGAGAGTGTAGATCTCGCATAGGCCCGATGTAACCTCAGGTTGAGAGCGATGGTGATATATTGCGAGGGCAGAAATATGTCTAGCAAAGTATATTCCACGTCAGTCCACCCAGTGGTAAATCAAAGTGGTTGCAGGGGACGTACCGGAAGTGTTCTGCCCAGTAGCGCCACCAGTGTCATTCTGAATCCGGCGTTGTACGCATAGTGCTGAGCAATATGAGGGATGCGTACGTGTAATCAGATGGGGCAGTGTGTTCCCGCTCTCATTGAGCATCCGCGTACCGGGAGACGCAGCTTTGTTCCGGCTACGATGCCGAATATTCGCTTGAACGACGCCAGGGTAGGCGGAGGAGCTGTTGTCGAGCTCAGACAGCCGGACCGTGGCTAGCTAGTCTGAAGTGAGGCAAAACAGACGCAGCTGAGAGATGTAGCGGCGGGGACGAGTGGTTCGACTTGGTGAGAGCAACGAGCGATGACGCACAGGCGGGCGTAGGGTGGCAAGAGAAGCACGGTCACGTGGGCGCGCTTCTCCCGCTCTGAGCGGCGCCGGCGCAGTAAGCGCTGGCCTCCTCGTCTGCTCTTACCGCGAACCGCTGCGCCACGTCTCTCCTTCTCTCCTCGAATGCATCCAACCGCAGCCTCTGAATATCGCCCAGGCAATTCAGCCTGCGCCTACTCGATACTTGGGACCGCATCTTGCCCTACCAAACTCGAACTGCGAATTGGGACTCGGAGGATCTTCAACTCCCGGGCTGACGCTCCTTGATCTCTTACCACCACCTCTGGCGACTTTCCCACGCTCTGCAGCCAATCAGAGCGGGCGACAGAGGGTGCGGTCATAGACACTTCGACTACCTGACATCTAGGCGACCTTACGTACTGGGACTCTCTCGGTATCTACTGGTACGATGACGCCACCGCAGCAGACGCGCCAAATCACGCTCGCTGGGCAACCGCGGTCGAGCAGCGTCGGGCAGCGACAAGGAACAGGCGCCGGCGCGAAAAAACCGACGGCGACGAGCTCACTGGCTTTCTACAAAGAGCAAAAGGCCAACGTGATGGACCTCGAGGCAGCAGTCGCTCTGCTGGAAGAACACGGTTTGATCCCGCCGATGGAGATGCCCAACGGCATTGCGCTCATATCCGGGATGGGCCAGCTGGCGATGAGCACTGGGAGTGCGACGGTCGTCGAGGGGCTGATTGCCTTTGCGGTCTATGCTAAGGCGGTCCTAGAAGAGCGGGTGAGTATCGCAATCAGTGAAGAGGTCATGGCCAAGGTGCAGGACCAGGTGCAGGAGGCTGTGAAGGCGGCAGTTGCAGAGGCGGGGGTGCCGGTGGACTCGAGTGCTGAGGCGGTTAGAGCTAGTGAGGGGCTGGCGAGCATGGGGACCCGGCTGGAGGCGGGGCTGGCGAGGCTCGAGACGAGGTGCGAGCAGATGGAGGAGGTCGCGAGACGCCCGGGCGGAACATTTGCAGAAGTGGCGGCGGCGGCGTCGGCGCGCACGCTGGGGGCACCCGCTCCTGGCAGCGCGCCGATGCCACGCGGCCCGATGGCTCGTGCGGTAGAGCGGGCGAAGTTGAGGGCCCGTCAAGTTTTGGTGGACGAGGTGGCGCTCGGTGACAGTGAAGGGGAGCGCATCAAAGAGGATGCGGTCGTCTTGAAGGCCAACATGGCACTCGCCATGCTGACGGAGGAGGGTGATGTACCCCCTAAAGGGGCAGGAGTTGTGGCTGCCACCATCCTCCGCAATGGCGGTGTGGTTCTCGAGTTTGGGACGCAGGAGGGGGCCGACTGGGTCCGGGAGACGAAGGACCGGTCGGCGGCCTTCGCGAGCAAGATGGGCGCGACGGCGGCGGTCAAGGCGAGACAGTACAAAGTGGTGGCAGAGTTCACGCCCGTTCGATTCAACCCGGACGACGCGGCCGCTCTTGCAGCGATTGAGGAGCGCGCGCAGCTCCCTGCGGGGTCCATAGTGTATGCGAGGTGGATCAAGCCGATCTCCAAGCGCCAGCATGGGCAGCAGGTGGCCCATGCGATGATTACCATGAGCTCAAGTGAGGGGGCGAACCGGGCGATTGCAAATGGCTTGATCATTGCGGGAAAGAAGGTCGGCGTATGCCGCTGCCTCCTGGAACCACTTCGGTGCGCGAAATGCCACCGGTTCGAGCCCGTCCATCTCGCGCGCGACTGCACGCAAGCCGAGGAATGCTGTGGAACATGCGGGGATGACTCGCACCCGACTCGTGACTGTCAGGTGACTGACGAGGAAAAGTACCGGTGCATTAACTGCAAGCGTTTCGGCCACGCTACGTGGTCCCGCCACTGCCCTACTTTCCTTGCACAGGTCCAGAAAATGCAGAAGAGGCAGCCCGACCACTGCTTCCGTTTCTTCCCAACGGAGGACCCGAACGCCTGGGAGGTCGAGCAGAGCTTCCAGGACTCAGTTCCGGGCACGACGGGGAGACAGCAAGACGACGGTTGGAACATGGTCGGGCGGCGGGGTGCGCACACCGCCGCCCATACGCAGCAGCTGAGTCCTCGCGGATTGCGCCAGGGACGTCTGGATGACCACTTTACGCTCGCAGAACACATGCCCACTGAGTTCTTCCAATGAACGGTACACCAATAACCAACATAAGGATATGGCAACAGAATCTCAACAAATCGGCGGACGCGACCTCGGACCTTCTTCACTCGGCGTTACCCACTAACTTTGACATCATAGCCCTTCAAGAGCCATATATCGACCATCTCGGCCTCACTAGGGCGACTAACCACTGGTCTGTTGTATACCCGACTGGACACCATGACGCAAAAGAGCGCACACGGTCGATCATTCTCGTCAGCACACGCCTATCGACAGGCTCGTGGACTCCCGTCTCCATTCCTTCTCCTGACCTCACTGCTATATCTATTAAATCTGGCGACACACACATCCACTTGCTCAATCTATATGTTGACGGCGAACATGATGCTACACTTCACGCGGCTGCTCGGGCGACTACGAAGCTGCAGCGTACGACGGCGCCCCCGGGCGGGCATCACTTTGCATGGCTCGGCGACTTCAACCGCCACCACCCCCTCTGGGATGAGCCTCGTAACCACCACCTGTTCTCGACCGGCAACCTGGATCGTGCGCAAGTACTCCTAGGGTACACGGCGGAATACGGGCTGGAGATGGCGCTCCCCGCAGGGATGCCGACACTCGAGGCGTCACGCACCAAGAACCTCACCAGACCGGACAATGTGTTCTGCACGGAGTACCTGCAGGAGGCGGTGGTTCGATGCAAGGTTGCCCCTCACCTTCGCCCGCCAAAAACTGACCATTTCCCTATCCTCTTGACTCTGGGGATACCGGTGGAGGAGTCGGCCCGCACAACACGTCGGAACTTCCGCGAGGTTGACTGGGAAGCCTTCAATGAGACCCTTCGGGCTGAGCTTGCTGCCCGCCCTCCTCCCATTGTAATTATCACCACAGCTAACCTGGATCGGGCCCTCTCCAGGTTGACAGCAGCCCTGCAAGTGGCCATAGACCGGCATGTACCAGAAACGGTCATCTGCCCCTTCACCAAGAGGTGGTGGTCAAAAGACCTCGACAAGATGAGGCGCGAGACGAAGCGCCTGGGCCGAGAGTCTTACCGCTACAGAGGGGATGCAGGCCACCGGGCACACCGCAAGTACAAAGTTGCCCGCAACCGTTACACTGATCAGATTCGCGCAGCGAAGAAGGACCACTGGAATGCGTGGCTAGACGTGGTCGATGCGCGCTCCATTTGGACGGCTCACAGATTCGTCAAGCGGGGACCCACCGATGGCGGCTGCACACGTATCCCTCCGTTGAAGGCAAAGAATGAGGCGGGCGAAGCTACAGTCCTCACTGGGAATGAGGAGAAGAGCACTGAGTTCTACGACACATTCTTTCTCCCTCCGGGAGACGCGCCGGTGCTCGCTGATGACTTTGAGTACCCAGAGCCAGCCTTCGGGTTTCGGTCCATCAAGGACCGGCAGATCTCGCGTGCGATCATGCAGCTGCGTGCGTTCAAGGTCCCGGGGCCGGATGGCATCCCGAATGAGGTCTACCGCCACTGCGAGCCCACGCTCACGCCATTACTGGGGAAGATCTTTCGGGCTACCTTCGAGCTCAAGTACTACCCCAAGGCGTGGAAGGCATCCGACACGGTGGTGCTTCGCAAGCCAGGGAAGACAGACTACACAGTGGCGAAAGCCTACCGCCCAGTGGCACTGCTGAGCTGCATGTCTAAAATCCTGTCTAGATGTGTTGCTGATGTCCTTGTTTTCGAAGCGGAGTCCCGCAACTTGCTGGCCGAGATGCAGTTCGGCGGCCGGGCAGGCCGCACCACCACCGACTCCATCCACCTTGTTACAAAGACGGTCAAGGACACATGGCGCCGCTCAGAAGTCGCTTCAATTCTGTTCCTGGACATCAAGTCAGCTTTTCCAGCAGCCACGCCCGAGCGACTTGCCTTGATCAGCGCCGAGTTGTAGATCAAGTAGAGAATGACCGAGAGCGGACAGCCCTGGTCAATACCGCTGTGAATCTGAAACGAGTCAGAGGCATAGTGTAAGTAACGGTGCGGTCGCCTTATCAAACCAGTGTGAGTTGCACAAAGTCTTGAGTATAGGCGTGATAGATGAGGATACATGAGGAGAACGGCGGCGCTGAGGCCCCGGAGTGGTGCTATACAGTCCCAGTCCAGCCACTACCCACGGGCGCCTAAGCGCCAGAGCCCGGCCGCGGCACTGCCACGGCCACCGAATCCTTACACCCTCCCTCTCCGGATTGACCCAATCCCTCGGATGAGTGATGATGAGCGGTTGACGACGACGAGCGCGTGCTGTGGCAGCGGATAGAGTGGGGGGGATCGACGGGTAGCCGAGGGCGGCGAGCGCAGGGATGATGATGGCGCCGCCCTCATAGTAGTCGGCTATATGTCCTCACCGTCGTCCAGCTCGTCGAAGTCGCCGTGGTTGGACTCGTGGGTCTCGAGGAGGCGTGGGCCCCAGGCCAGCTCATCGTATTTGACGACGAGGGCGATCTCGGCGGCGGACGTGACGGAGTCGACGTCGATGGGGGGTGCCGGCCACGGGGAAGCGTCGTCGAGCACGCGCCCGAGTGACTCGTTGCGCGAGCGGGTGGCCCAGTGGCGGATGGAGGCGATGACGTCGCGGTCCAGTGCAACACCATGGACACAGAACCACGCGGAGAGGAGGATGGGGGAGGCGTCATCCGCGGGGTAGGGGTAGCGGATGGGAGCCTCCTGGGGTTGCCCAACGAACTCTCCGGCCGCGACGATGCGCTCGTACCAACCAGGAATGGAGAATAACTCCATGGCCAGGGTACGGATGCGCGCGTCGTGCTCGTGGTGGGGGTTCTTCTTGGCCCGCTGAGGCAACAAGTGCCACAGCAGGAAAAAGGCCCGACAGTCCGAAGAGAGAGGAACCCCGAATCCATCGCCAGAAGGCAATGCACCCGAGGCCAGTCTCATCCCGGACGGCCAGGCGTTCACCGACGCGCACCTGAAGAACCGACACACGACGTCTATGTCGGCGGCGGCCTCGGGGTAGCGGCCAAGGTGATCGCGGGGTGCATTAACGGGGCGTGGGATGGCCCGCCGGAGGTGCTGCTTACGGCGGGCGGCGTCCGCGCCCTGCAGTTTCTGCAAGTACCGGATACCCTCAGGCCGGACGTGAGCCGGGCTTTGGTATATCGTGGTGACGAACTTGTAGAATCGCAGGGCATCCTCGTCCCACTCGACGAAAGCCCACCAGTGCAGGTTGTGGGCCTGCACCACAGTCTGGATGTTGGTGCCGGCCCACGCCCCGAACTCGGGCTTGTCAGCGGGTGGGAGTGGATCGATGGTGTCGACTCCCTTCGCCCTAGCTGCCCGGTTGACCTCTTTGACGTGGGCCGCCTTGGTCAACTGGCTGGCGAAGGAGGTGATGGGGTCGGAGAACACGAGATCGATGCCGGGGAACAAATCGTCCCCGGCCTCGTCCGTGTCTCCTTCATCATCCTGCTCCATCGCCTCGTACGACTCCGCCATGGACGCCGGTGGGCTGGACCAGCATCGGTACCAGGCGGAGAGTGGCTGACCGGAGGCCTCGAGTGTCACGTCCATCTGCCCTTGACGGCGCAGAATGCCGTGGTTCTCGCGTTCGGCCTCCGTCATCAGGTTCCACTCAAACTCATCCACCCCCATGGACTGAGCCGTGGGGCGAGTCGCGTGGGCGGCGGTTGGAGTGAGGGGTTGCGTGGGAGGAACCGGAGCCGGGGCCGCCACCACGTCTGGAGGCGTGGCCGCGGTCGCGGCATTAGCTTCCCGCGCGGGCGCCCGAGTGGTTGCCCTTTTTGGGTTCCCGCTCTGCGTGCGGGGCGGCACGGTGGACTGGGCGGGTCCGTCGCGCTCTCGGGTGCCCGCGGTCGTCGCCGCCGTAGCAGACGCGATCGCGGGTCCTGGAGGTGGCTGGATGTTGGCGGCCCCGGTGGGCAGCTCGGTGTCCACGCGCGGTCGGCTGCGCGTGGATCCGCCCCAGCCTTCATCGTGGCCGTGCGGTACGAAGCGGGGCCCAGAGAACCCAGGACCGCGGCGCGCAGGGAAGGGCTTCAGCTCGTCGTTGAGTCGGCTGACTTCTTTGACGAGCCGATCGCGCTCCGCCTGTAGCGTCTTGATCTGGTTCTCGGCGTCGTCGATGGCGCGGTCGCGCTCGCGTATACGCGCGCGCAGGTCCGCTTCTTTTACGCGCGCATCGCCGAGTTCGCCGGCGAGGGCGGCGTACTGCTGGCGAGCGTCGGCGAGCTCTTTGTAGGCGTCGGCGGCCCGCTCCCAGCCACCACTATCCGGCCCGTACGACGGGGTCGGATAGTTGGGCGGGGGCGGCCCGTAGTTCGACGGTCCGTAGTTGGGTCCGGGGCCAAAGTTGTTGTACCCCTGGCCCTGCTGCTGGTTGGGGTAGTTCGGGCCCGACGGTGGAGGAGAGAAGGGCGGCTGCGGGTAGCCACCGAAGTGGCCCCCGCCGCTGCTCCCTCCCCCTCCAGTCGGCCCGTACCCATCGTCGACGTCCATGCGGCCTCGCTTGGCGTGGGCGACATAGTCGTCCGCCCCCAGCGAGGGTTGTCCGCGTTGCGGCGACATTGCGGTGGTGCAGGTGAGAGGTGAAGCGAGGAGTAGCCGAGAAGGCTGGATGTGCTGAGGGGTGGGAATGGGGTGGATGGATGGGGAAGGAGGGGGATGTTCGGTGGTGATGGGCGCCGTCCGACGATTGGTCGGAAGTTCAACGGTTAAGGTTGGGACTCCGCCGATCGGAGTTGTGCGCCCGTTCCCACGCCATCCCGCCAGATGCGCTGCCCGACTGGGCGCCTACGGACTTCAGTTCTCGCGGCTCAACTATCCCGCTGGGGCCCCAGCTCGCGCCTCTGTACCGCCACGACGAACGTCGGGGCGGGCCGATCGCAAGCTCGGGGTCGATCAGCGGGTGGTTCCTCGGGCAGCCCACCACCTGTACAGGCCGCCGCGGCATACATCGCGGCGGGCACCTGCAGGTTGGTGTCGTGCGGTGTCAACGACGCGGACGACTACCTCGGTTCTGCCGCGGTAGTCGACGCCAATCGTCCACACCCATGAGGGCCAGGTAATCGTCGAGCGCCTTTAGCTCGTCGCAGTGGGCCAGTGGCTCCCATGTGTGCTCGCCAGTGGACCAATGGACCAGGAACTCGATGGACTTCGACGTCCATCGATGTCCGGCTATGTCGTCCACCAGCCATTCCTGTTCGTCAGGGGCCCCGAAATCATAAAATTTCTGGGCCTCCCGTCCCGGGAATATCGCTTCGTCGCTCTCGTGATGCGGCCTCAGCAATGCCGCATGGAATGTCGGGTGGACTCGCCGGCGGACGAGTTCACCTGGCAATTCCAGGGTGTAGCTCGAGGTGTCAGGGTTCGCCCGGAGGACCTTATATGGCCCGATGTATTTCGGCGCGAGCTTGCGCGCCCGGTTCTTCGGGAGCGCAAGGTTCTTCGTCGATAGATACACTAGGTCGCCCACCCTGAACGGAGTCGCCTCGTCCGTCCGGAGGCGATTCGCGTGATGTGTCATCGCCACCCGACTTTGGAGGATAGCGTCGTGGGCCTGCTCCAGGTTCATGCGAGCTCGGTCGGCGAACGCTTGGACACCAGGGAACGGTGATGTACCCTGGTCCCACGCGGCCATGCGAGGCATGTACCCGTAGTTCAGCTCGAATGGGGCGAAACCCGTGGACGCACTGATGCTCGAGTTGATGGCGAACTCCACCATGGGGATATGATCGATCCAATCCCCTTGGTGCGGTTCAACCATGGCTCGCAGTATCTGGGTTACGTTCCTGATTGCTCGCTCGGAGGCGCCGTCGGTCTGAGGGTGGAACGAAGTTGACATGAGCAACTTCGTCCCCAGCAGCCGGTGGACCTCCTTCCAAAACACAGATGTAAATTTTGAATCCCGGTCGGACACTATCGACTCCGGCAGTCCATGGAGTCGTACTACTCCTTGGATGTAGTAGTCGGCTACCATGGTGGCGGAGTCGGTAACTCGGCATGGGATCAAGTGGACCATGCTGGTTAGTCGGCAAATGACTACCAGCATGTAGTTGTATCCGCGAGCGTCGGGGAATGGACCGACGAAGTCCATCCCTACCGATTGCCACGGATACAGAGGCACCGGCATCGTATGCAACAACCCCGCCGGCAACGAGTTGGATGTTTTTGACATCTGGCACGCTCCGCATGAGGTGCAGAACCTCTCTATATCCCGCGTCATCCGCGGCCACCAGAACCATCGTCTCACGTACTCCGCCGTCCGTTGGGCACCAAGGTGACCCAGGGTTCGGTGAGCGTGGTCGATGACGAGTTCCTGGAGGCTGCGCGACTTCAGTCGGCCATCGGGTATGCATAGCACCCGATGGCTGAATCGATTGGTCACGTATAGTAGCCCGTGGATTTCTTCAAAGGATGGATAGGCCGTAGGCTTTAGCATCACTTTGGAGAAAGTCGGGTCACCCGCGTACGCGAGTTTGACCGCGTCCCGGAACCCGTCCTCGCCTTGAACTACGGTGTCCAGGGCGGGCCCGGATTGCAAGGCATCATGCACGCTGACTGCCGCCTCGGCTTCACTCAATGGTCGCGGTACGTGTGCCGCGACCATTTCGGATGCTTCGAGTTCGCGGTCCTCGACTACCTCCCGAAGAGCGCGTAGGGCTACTTCTTCGATGGCGCGGTTTATTTCGACCTTACGGTCCGCCGGAATGTCATCCAGTCCCGGGTCAAGACGCACGTCGGCATTGACGTAGTCTTGAACGGGGCGGAGTACATCCGGCGGGTCGTTCTTGAAATACCGTGATAGGCAATCGGCCACCTTGTTGTCCTTGCCGGGAACATGTTCTATCTCGTAATCATAACGGGACAGAAATTCGTCCCAACGGATGAGCCGTCCCGATCTTGTGTCCCTCTTGACGTCTCGCATAGTCAAGAGGGCTTCATGGTCGGTGGCGATCCGGAACTTCCGGCCCAGGAGGCGGTCCTCCCACTTCAGGAGTGCCTCGATTATCCCCAACGCTTCATGCTCATACGTTTGGTATGAGCGTTGGGCGGAGGTGAACTTCTTCGACATGAATCCGGCTGGTCGGCACGTTTGCCAGTCAGGACCCTGGCCGTATACAGCGCCTACTCCACACACCGATGCGTCCGTGATGACCCATATGGTTTCATCACAGTCGGGATCGATGGGTTTGAGTATAGGCGCTTTGCAGGCCATGTCCTTGATCCGGTCGAGACACGTTTGGTGTAACGGCCGCCAGTAGAATGGCTGTCCGTTGCTGCAGATGGTCTCGAGCGGGGAGGTGTATGCGGATAGGTCCGGCATGAAATGGGCAAGATATTGGACGAGCCCTAGGAATCGAAGGACCTCGTCCTTCGACTGCATAGGAGGCCAGTCCCTTATCTTGGCCATCTTGTCGGTGTCAGCATGGAGTCCTTGGTCATCTATCAGATGACCAAGACAATCCATGCGTTGGGAATACAAGTCGAGTTTAGCTCGGCTGAGATATAACCGCTGCTCCCGCAGTCGGTCGAATACCAGTCGAAGATGATCTTCGTGTTCCCCAATGGAGCGGGAGAACACGAAGATGTCGTCGAGGTATACGTGCCCGAATACTCCGATGTATTCGCGGAAGATCCACGTCATGAGGCGCTGAAATGTACCAGGTGCATTACAGTCGCCTTGCTGCATGACATGGGATACGGCGGTGCCGAATATCGTTGAGAACGCGGTTTTCCAAACATCCTCGACATCGATACGGATTTGCTCATAAGCGTCCGACATATCGATTTTCGAGCGATGTTTGGCACGCGCTACGTCCTGCCGTATGTTGTCCTGATCAGGGAACGGCGTCACGTCCTTATACGTGTTGTCGTTCCTCTGACGGGCATCAATGACAGTGCGTATCTTCCCGCTCTTTTTGAGCACACACAGTAATGGCGCAGCCTAGTTGGCGGGCTTCATCTCCCACCAACCAGCTTCGAGATATCTGTCCATTTTGGTTTTCAATTCGCCCCGAAGGGCGTCCGGACATCGAGGGTGGTGGTAGTTATACCGATGCTGCTCGTCAATGAGGGGAATCCTATGATTGATTTCCCTCATCGGTGGCAACTCAAGCGGTATAGGGCCCACCAAGTCCTCGACTTTGCGGAACCATTCCTCCCTCAGGTAGGGAATGACTTCGGGTGGCTTCATGTATGATCGTTCTGGCATATCGCGGAGGTAATTTACTACCTCCTCGTATAACAGTTCGTTCATACCGTACCTATCCTCGTTGCCGTACTTATCCCGTTTCACTCCGGTAGAGGAGTGGAGCGAGATAGGGTCTCGGCTTCCGAGTTCAGGCATGTCCACGGGATTCCGAGTGTCCCGCTTCCAGTGGAGGGAATGCGTATGGGGCCTTTCGCTATCCGCGGGGTACACGAATTGAGCCTGGTGAGGGGGAAGAACCTCCTCATCAGTAGCGTCGATTGTGTCTGCCGCGCGGTAGTCTATGGTGGACTCCTCCACCCTCTCGCTACGTGAATGCTCCGCCTTATTGCTGGTAGCATGATATGAGGAGATGGGATCGGGTTCAGAGCTCGCCTCGGCTAGCCCTGGTCCTCGGCCATCGTCCTCGTCCCCTTTTCGCTTACGGATCTCCTCCACGACATATGGAAGATGTCCTTCCAGGATACGAGCGGTGCGATCCACCGTCGTATCCTGGTCAGGTACATCTTCTACTGTGGTGCGATGACCCGTACTCGGGGGGAGTCACTTTGACGGTCCAGTTCGCAGGGCCCCACTGGGCTTCCGCGAGTTGAGTCGTCGGACCCGGTATGCAGAGTCTTCCTCGTTTGTGAACGCAGGGCAAATCTGGCCTTTGACGACGATTGCTCGTTGTTCAAAGTCCAGTTTGATGCCGTGTTGGTTCATGAACGGGGTGCCGATTACGCAATCGTACCGGTCAAGGTTGACGATGTCGAAATACATTTTCTCTGCCACCGGTCCGAATTGCACGGGCACCCATGTCCCATAGTTGATTTTGGACCGACTGCCGGAGCATCCCAGTTGCAAGACAACCTGCTCGGATAGCTTCACTGTTTTGGCTCGGGATATGTGTGCAAATTCTGGTGATACAGAATCTGTAGTGCTCCCCGAGTCAAAGAGAGTGTAAGCCATGAGGCCGTTCACGTTGATCAGCGCGCAGAGGGACGCCTGCAGTCGTCGATCACGCTGAGGTTGGACGGACTCGGGCGTTGACTCGCGCCGTCGAACGCTCGTGGAATGTTCGTACGTCTTAGGGGTGGGGGTAACTCGTCCCGCGCGCATGTGGAGGACTATCTCGTCCTCCTCATCGCTCGGAATCGCTACCCTCATGGCCATTGATTGCGCTCTCATGATCTCCGAGCCCTCCCCCTCCGAAGGTGCCCCTGGGGACCTCGTACGCTCTTCCTCGGAGTTGTACTGGGAGCCTCCCCAGTTGTCCACCTCGTAAGGGTTCCCCACAACGGTCGCCTGGTCCTCAACCGCGTCCGCCTTTCCGTTCCCGTCCATGTCCACTCGCTGTGCATGGAAACGGGTACGTTGGGGTGGACGGTTCGACTGACCGGGCCGTGGTTTCCCATACTGGGGGCACACGGGGTCATTGGCGTAGTGGCCCACTTGCCCGCAGCTATAACACGCATTGCCCGTGGATGGCCGGTTCTGAGCTGGGGTCGGCGGCCGAGTGGCCGCCGGCTTGAACGGTGTCTCGGCGGGACGGCTCGTCGCGGGGCGGTGGTTCCGTTCCCGTGATGATGCTCGGTCTCTACCCCGAGAGTCAGCTCGAGGGATAATACTGGCTGCCGCCATAAGGGGACGGCGTTCGCGGTCCTGGTTCTCCCGTCGTCGGACTCGGATCAGTGCCCGTTCAACCTGGCGGGCACTGGTGAGAATCTCGTCGACGGAAGATTCTTCCGCATTGATGTTCCGCTCGAGTGCCAGTATGCGGTAGACTTCTGCCGGTAAACCCTCCATCAGTTTCCGTCTGATGGTGTAGTTATCCGGGGGTTCCACCATACGTGCTGCGTACTTCATCAGTTCGGCATAGAATGATTCCATGCCGTCCTGAGAACGGTAACGGCAGTTGTCGAAATCGAGTGTGGCCTTGGCCGCCGAGCTCGAATGGACAAATCGGCGGTGCATGGCGCAGATGGTCTCCTCGAATGTGGGTAGATAACCCAGTGAAGGGTTGTCTATGCACACAGTGTACCATTCTACAGCTTTGCCGGTGAGATAAGGGCGGAGGTACTGCACTCGGCTGCGGTCCGTTTCTGGACCGCAGACGTTGTAGAACCGCAGCCATGTCAAGTATCCATCCAGCCAGTTGTAGAAGGTGTCGTGGTCGTCAGCGCCGTCGTATTTCCCGGGGCTTTCGAATTTCGGATATTTAGCCCCGGGAGGCAACGGCGGTGCCATGACCTCCGTTTTGAAGCAGATGTTCTCGCACAAATGGGCTAACATCACTTCGCGATGCCCATCTGAGTCAACAATATGCCCGACCACTTCTACCGCACCCGGGTTGGATCGTCCCACCATAGAGAGTGGGACGATCGGATCCCGGTCAGTGTAGTTATGTGTGACTGGGGGATATGCAGGGAAAGCCCGGGAAATGGGCGGCCCCTGGGGCAACCGAAATGCTTTCGGTTTGCTCGTGACAGGGCTGGGGGTGGTGTACGGACCATCCCTGGGGCTAGGGCGGGGAACGTGTTCACGCTGGGCAAAATGAACACGGTCTACCGCACTAGCCACATTGGCCTGTAACACATCTTGAACTCGTTTTTGACTACGGATGGACGCGTCCACTCGGTGGTTGTACTGATCGATGGTCTCATCTGGACTACGTACCACTGACTTGTGCCGGTGCGCGTCAGTGGTCGCTGGACCGGACCGAGTCAGGTGGGGGGGAGTATCCCGGTTCGGAATGCCGTTGGTGCGAGAAGGTGGAGCAGGCGGTACGGGTAGTTCCGCCTGTGCATCTTCGGTCGCTCCGGGGACTCCGGAGACTGGGGTAGTCCTCGCAGGGTTTCCCCCCGGGGACGGTGGTGGATACCACTGTGCCAACGGGGGTGGAGGACCTGTAGTAGACTGGCGTTGACGAGGGCGCGGAGTGGATGAGGATAGTGGGGCAGACGAGTTCATCAACGCATTAGTCGTTGATAACCCTCGTTCCACGTCCTTCAGCATCTCCGCGTTGTCTGCCGCGATTCGATTCATACGAGATCGCATAGCATCAACCTCGGACATGTACTCCAGCACGATCGACTTGCCCATCAGAGCTAGTCGATCGGCTTCTTGTACGTTCGACCCAACTTGCTCGGTGCGTCCTCGAATCTGGTTGTGCAGCCCTTCCTGCGCCTGTTTTATGACACGGAGGCTCTCGTCCACCGTGTGGGACTGGAAATCCGTCTCGGTGCGGCCATTGGGGGATGTCCGTGGTCGCTGGTCCCCAGGGACTCCAGTAACCGCGGGTCCATACAACGATTCCGTGTACCCAGTAGTGGGAGCATACGACATTGGATACCCCTGTGGGGCATACGCCATGGGGTAACCTTGCGGTCCATACGCCATGGGGTACCCGGGTGGGGGCATTACGTATCCCTGAGGGCCCATTGGGGGTCCTGGGGGAAACAGGTATGGTCCCTGGGCAGTCGTCGGGTGACCGGTGTTAGGATAAATCTTAAACGGGTCACTAGAGACGCTAGGGGGCATCCCACTGCCGTCCCATCGGGGTATGCCAGCGTATGGGACCTGCGGGTGAGGTTGTAGCACTGCAGGATGTGAGGCCTGCGGTGCTGCTTGACTCGCCGCGACTCCCCGCACTCCCAATGGGTCTGCTAGCGGCGGCGAGAGGTCTGCGGCGGTTTGATACCGTCCCAGACGCTCTTGACTCGCGTCAGTGGCATGGAAAACCATCCCATCCCAGTGCGGTCCTCCGAGAGGGGTCGGGGAGGGTGGAGTGGTTTCCGACCCAGTGCCATCAACGTTCGAGGCCGGACGTCAAGGTCCGGCGGTATTAGGGTTGCCGTACACAGGCGGCCTGCCGTCGCCCGTGTTCGCGGCCAGTCCTCCTCGGACAGTGCCTTCACTGTCCGAGTAGGCGGTGGTGAAACTCTGGGCACCGGAGCCCTCTGTCTGGGTAGAGGATCCGGTGCTCGCCGAGTTTGGTCCAGTGGGACCGGTGGGTGCGCTAGCGGCTTGCCCGGGATCACGATCTTCGGAAGGTCGTGATCCTCGGTCGGGAAGACCGCTATCACCTTCCTGTGAAGGCGAATTACGTACCGTGCGATCCATCACCGGAAGTATCCTTCGTCTTCTCCTTTTGATTAGACTAGAAGTGAACTCAAAAAAATGTAAGTAACGGTGCGGTCGCCTTATCAAACCAGTGTGAGTTGCACAAAGTCTTGAGTATAGGCGTGATAGATGAGGATACATGAGGAGAACGGCAGCGCTGAGGCCCCGGAGTGGTGCTATACAGTCCCAGTCCAGCCACTACCCACGGGCGCCTAAGCGCCAGAGCCCGGCCGCGGCACTGCCACGGCCACCGAATCCTTACACATAGTCATCAAAGAGTAGACGTGTATGTCGGCCGCTCAGCTTGACACGGAGCCAGTCGACGATTGCCCGTGGGATGCCCATCATCCGCATGTCGTGGAAGGCAGAAAAGGTCAAGGGGGTGACGGCGGTTGGTTCCATGGACGATGTTGCGCTTGTGGCCACTGGGAGGCAGTTCGCTGATGCACACCAGCGTGCGAGGGCATTCATGGAAGGCAGTGGCGGAGCGAATGACTGGTCGCGCACGCATCACTCGGAGTTCTCCCCGGAGAAGTTCGGGTTGCTGAACTGCTCCCGGAGTTCCCGGAAGCTGGACGGCCTCGGGCCGGCACTGCTGCTTGGGGACCACACCATTGCACCCACTGATCACCATCGCTTCCTAGGTGTACTCATCGACCACAAGCTGCGATTCCGGCAGCATATCTCCCTGGCGCTTGCGAAGGGGTCTGCGTGGGTTGCCATGATCAGACGGTTAGGCAGGATGCAGCATGGCCTCCAGATGGCGGTCGTGCGCCGGCTGTATCTGGCGGTTGCGGTGCCCAGCATGCTGTACGCGGCGGACGTCTTTCTGACACCGATCCGCAAAGTCGCCGGACGGAACCGCAAATACGGCTCGGTCGGGGCAGTAGCAAAGCTGGCAACGGTGCAGCGGCAGGCATTGCTTGTGATGACGGGAGCGATGCGCACTACGGCCACAGACGTCCTTGAAGCACATGCTGACATTCTACCATTTCAGCTCCTCGTTGACAAGATCTGCCAGCGGGCGACGGTCCGCCTCTGCACTCTCCCGACAAAGATCAAGACGAAGCATCCGCTGCTGCCCCACATCAAACGGGCCAGCCAGATCTACGTCCAGCGTCATCGCTCTTCACTCCACGAGCTGCTGCATGCATACAAGAAGACGGCAGCTCCGGGGCGTTTGGAGGAGATACGCCCATATCGCCACCATCCAGCCTGGCGAACACCACACAGCGTCGAAATTTCGGAGGACAAGATTGCTGCATTGGAGGCTGAGAAGCGTTGGGTTGCCCGCGAGGGCATCCGCATCTACTCAGACGGCTCCGACATCAACGGCGGTGTTGGGGCAGCGGCAGTACTATACCGCCCGGGACGGCCGGGCTTCACAACGCTGCACTACTACCTGGGGACGTCGGCAGAGCACTCAGTCTATGAGGCTGAGATTGTGGGCACAATCTTGGGCGCATGGCTGGTGAAGACAGAGCGACAGGTTGTCGTTCTCGCATCGGTCGCGCTGGACAACACTTCGTCCCTGGACGCTTCGAAGCTGAGCACACCTCGCCCTGGGCACTACCTCACTGACATGTTCATTGACAGTGCGCGCGAAGCGAAATCCGCACATCCGAGACTCGACCTCACGCTACGTTGGGTGCCCGGCCACCTAGGGGTTGACGGCAACGAGCAGGCGGACGAGGATGCGAAGGAGGCAGCGCATGGACACTCTAGTGCACCCCATCGTCTGCCGCCGGGCCTTAGGACGACACTCCCGATCAGTGCAGCGAAGGCAAAGCAACGGCACCTGGCGAAGCTGAAGTCACGGGCACAAGACGACTGGCATAAGTCTCGTTGGGGCATCAAGCTGAAGGTTGTGTGTGGGCAGCTCCACTTGCCACGGTATGGGAAGCTTGTCGCCCCGCTCTCGCGACGGCAGGCGGCCATCCTGATCCAGCTGAGGACCGGGAATGCGCCACTTGCGGCACACCTACACCGGATCAACCGGGCGGACACCGCGACGTGCCCATCCTGTGGAGACGCTCCAGAGACTGTCCTCCATCTCCTGGTCCAATGCCCCCGCTATGCGGCGGAACGCTCGCGCCACCTCGGTCGCCTCGGCCGGGACAGCCGCAAGCTCGCGTTCCTGTTGAACACGAAGGCAGCGCTCCAGCCGCTCTTCAAATTCTTGACGGCGACCCGCCGTTTCCACACGACGTTCGGTGCCCTGTTCTCGGAAAAGGACGAGGCACGAGCACGAGAGCAGGCAACGGGCGGGCCCGCCAGGACCCGAGCAGCTCGCCAACCACACCGCTGAGTCCGCGCTCCGCAGACCAGGTCCTCCGCTGACATTGCTTTGACCTACAGACCCGTCGGACCTCCACGCACTCGAGAGCCAGTCGATCCTTGCCCTGTTGCTTTTATTTTCGTTCGCTTTGGTATCCCATCTCTATTTTGGGCTCTCGGTCTCGGTCTACCTATTTAACTTTAACTCTCCATCTGCGTGCGCTCCGGCGCCGTGCACTGCGGGCGTTCACCCCGCTCCAGGAGCGGGGGAGTTCTGACGGCCGGTGGGGGACCACCGGACGTACACCTGACCGTGGCAAGAGGCACAAGCCCGGGAGCTGCGGCTACTCTGAATGCACGGCAGGTTTGCAACCCGTCTGCCTAGCCTTCGTTGGTCAGGAGGCTGTGGGTGAACGCCGGCACTGCATGCCCCCCCTACTATAGTCTCCCTCCCGTGATACTCTGCCCCTGCCCCTTGCCCCGGTCTCACTACCACCCGGTTCTTTACGGTCCTCGGTCGTCACTATTTCCCCCTCACACCCTCCTGATTGCTGGGGCCCTCGGGCCCCTTTTGTCTCGCTATGATCCTCTGATATTTACGATTACGGTACAACAGTTTCGTTAGGTTAGTGCCCACCATAGGACTCGGTCCTGACGGGCAATAAACCGGAGTTAAAGAAAGAAAGAACTCCCGGGCTGCATCTCCTCCTCTGTGCGCGCTATGCGACGACTCTACCATCGACATGGCGGGATACACACGGGAAGGTCCGAAAGTAGCAATTGGAATGTGAGTATGGTCCGACATCCTGCATACAGCGTACTTCGGACTGAACATCTCTGTCCGCACTGCGTCTCCTAGATGATGCCTGTGTGCGCGCATATACGCAGCTACATAGCTTTCAGAAGTCCCGTGTGCGTATGGAAGGCGTCCTTTACGAGATAGCGGCCATCTTCTGCCACTGCTATACCACATGTATGTTCACCCTCGCCGTTTTATCCTGTGATTGCTGAATGTCTCCTGCGCGGCACTGCTCAGCGATGTTCCTGTTGCCCCGTTGTACCAGCACCGTTCTCGCACTGGCATGGCCTCTTCTACTACCTACCCCCCCCCCCACCCCACACGCTCCTGTGCACAATCACGTACCAGATACGGATGCATGCGAAGCGCAGCCGGAGTGCATGCAGCATGCCACCTTCGACCACCCTGGGCTTGGCTTTGGCGAGGCATGCCTCGACGCGCACGTCGCAATCGCGTCCATAGCACTCATAGCACTCCGCTTGACCAGCGACTCGCAATGCCTTCACTCTCAACCTGCCGTGCGTACCGCACCACCTTTTACATTCCGATTCATGAGCTGACTCGATCTCTGTCCAGAACTACCTGCTCTCGACTGAGAGCAGGTAGGTGTAGCATGAAAGGCTGCGTATCCTCATCGAGGAATACGTGCCGCGTCGAGCAGACGCGTGATGTCGTGCAATGGAGAAAATGTTTACTATATGCCTGTGACATACCCGGACAGAATGCAATGCGACCGATCACCAAATGCCCTACGGCTTCCTGCCAACCCGTCAACAAACGACCACGCTCAAACCGCTGCGTGAGCTGTCGACGATTGATCCTGGATCTGCAGACAGCATCAGTGATACCGTAAGACCGAGCCGCGAGCGAGAGCCAACGCGAGGGAGCAGTGGGAAGAGCGCGGCGGCTCTCGAGCTGGACATTCCGTCTTGAGGTATGTCGGTCTCCGTGACGCGCAATGTCTTGAAGATGAGAGGGCCCGATCAGATGGATGGTGTTCGTGGATTTGCGTATACACCCCTCCGGAGGGAGGGTCATGGTGTTTCATTAGAGGGCGATGAGGACCTGCTGTGCAGATGCGTCGCACGGGGTCGAGAGAGCTCCCAGTGCGCACTCCGTAGAGAGCTAGTCGTCCCTTCGCAGGTGCTTGAGCGCGTGATAGAACCAGCTCCAATTCCAGGAAATAGGGCTGCGAGAAAGCTCGAGGGTCCCGACGACGAGGGGCGTGCAAGCGGTAGACCAGGTATCCGTCAGACGATGTGTACGGCCGCCCGAAGTCACGAACTTGAAGGAGACTTTGGTCGCCGGGTGTGCAGCATATATCCGTCGTCTTCCCGTGTATGCTCGCCACCGGTGGCCACATGTCCGTGATGTTCTGCCAGGTATGAAACTGGAGAAATATGGATAGTGAGCTTACGTTCGTCCGAACTGCCGTACTCGCCATCAAGCATTGTGCCAGAGAAAGGCTTGACACAGACGCGATCGTCGCACGAGCTGGCCGAGCTTGCCCACATGCTAAGGCTCAGCGTTTCGGGTCCGGGAAGTCTTCCGACGACTACGAGGGCGTTTTGCCGCAGTTTCGTTGGTTGAACATGCGGTGTACGTAGGCAGCGCGTAATTGTGGTCGTTAGCGGCGTTTCGTGCGAGGACAGAATGTCCGGCAAGCTCCTCGGCGGCCTAAAATGCGAATCCTGGAATGTTAGAAGAGATGTCTAGCAAGAGAACGGTCAATTTGGCATATTACATAACGCTGCCCCAAACGTACCGTACTCGGTCGTCATTACGACGACAGCGACGATGGCGGACACGTTGTAGATGGAGGGTGGATGATCTCTCGCGCAAAGTTCTGTGACGTGCTTGAACAGCTCGCGGATGCCCGTAGTGTCAGGGATCGCGAGGTTGACTTGCTCGGACTTGCGTATGTGCTCACGCGGAGATGTGTGACAGCTTGAGAGTGTAAACGAGTTAGACGCGAGGCTAGTCGGGGTGGCTTCGACCAAATATGGACCTACAAGCCCTGCGCCAAGATCTGCGTCGAGAGAATAACACCGCTGATGCGAGCAGTGTGAGGGTGTCGTGATAAAACCGACAACAGGCAGGGTGAGAGTCCCATTTCAGATCCTTGGGAGAACCTGCAGAAAATAGTGTGCTAGCTACGCATTCCGCCCGACGTGACATGCTGGAGTAGAACGAGACGTATTCGTATGACTCCTAACTCCTTCAAGATGTGTGCTTTATAGGGTGAAAGCTGCACGCGACTGATAGGAGCTTGGTAAGATAGCACTGTGACCACATATTGCCGTAGTGGCGTCTTTGGAGGTTGTATATGTACGAGCGCACTCTGGATGAAGGCTGGGGATGATGAGGTCGACCTGAGGGCAGAAGCCTGAGCCAAAGGGCGGAGCCAAACAAACGAAATAGACGATATGGATTTTATTATAAATGAAAATAATCAGCGAAGGAAGAGAGATAAAACTGGCAGCGTCACGTACCGTATGTCCACGAATCCACGGGAAGAAATATGACCGTACTCCGTCGTGCTAAGCCTCGCACGCTCCAGTCGGACATCACTATGCCTTTATAGATCTTCTGTACAAAACTCGAGGGTTGTCATTGACTTCGAGGAGAGCGCGAGCATTGCGCCAGTGGTTGTGCGTGGAGTCGCGATGAGAGTGCTACGCAAGCAGAAAGACGTCTCTGGCTCTCTCCGCTCGTGCCGGAACCCCGGAAACGCCGCACGCGGGCGCTCAGCGTGAACCTTGCCTGAACGCGATGCAGAACCGACACGCGCAGCTCGCGATCTCGCTCATACTATCATTCACGTCTAGGCTAGATACCTATCCTTCCAACTACTCATATCCTGTATATATCCACTACGCCACTTCCCAACACACTGAACTCAACATGCTGTATCAAACGCGAATCAGGCTGTAAGCTCTGACTCGGAGCCCGAGTGCCCGTGCACGGTGTGTGTGTATGCAGTGATATGCGGCAATACAGGAGCTCTAATCTGGAAATAGTACTCCAAAGCTGCTCGAGGTAACATACACCGCAGAGGCTCGTTTGAACAGACCTACAGGCATGCATTGATCAAGCCGCAGACCGAGAATAGGCGACCGATAACAAGCTCATGTTCGAGTCAAATTCCATCTATGCGTGTATGCGGTATTCGATTGGCTTATACTGCTCACAGATAGACTCAAATGAACCGATCTTCTCCCGCGCGCAGTTCACAGGACACCCGCATTCCCAGACAGAGCCGCTAACAGAGCGAGCCGCTAACCTACATACGCAATACCTATTCTGCACACATGAATCAGCATAAGCCTATCCATCCAAGAAAAGAGCTAGCGCTCCGCCCACCGCGTGGTGTCCAGATTCATGCTGTACGTTGACATTTATCTCACGCCTGCCACTCACTGAAGCTCCCTCCGTCCGTACAGCATCTGTGGCGTATACCGAAGCAGAAGGAATGCCGTCTCCGGCAGCAGAAAAGCGTCGGCGACAATGGTGCAGACCCATATTGTCATCGATTCAGTCTGCGATGACAGGTCCTCTTACTCCATCAGACGCTACTAGCATTGGGGAACGCACCACGGATGGAGCATTCTTGTTTACACGATCAACAGGTACGTCTGGATATATTTTGCAGTTACCTGTGGCTGACGCAGTGGTACTCTCGCGTCTCTGCAGCAATAGTAAAACGGGAGGCGAAATCGCCGCCGCGACCTGCGTACAGCCAAGAGTCCGACATAGCGAGACATGTTGTCCTGTAATCGAATGGAGGGTTTATGGGGGCAGGCGCACAATGCATACATGCGGTACCGATATCCCTTCATTTGAATATACGCACACTGGAGTGTCGAAAACTCGGGCGCCGCCGTATTCAGCATACCGCCATATGTGCTCAACATTCCATCCTTGGTATATCTCACGTGCGAGAGCCCCGCCATCACACATACAAGACGCTACATGCAGCATCAGCTCTTACCAGTCCTTCCGAGCAAAGCTTCGACGACACATCAATGTGGTGTGTGCATGTGCCCTCCTCGTGGTGGGACTATGGGTATGATATGGCTCTATCAAATCCTCTGTGATAAGTGAGGACAAATGGAAAGGCACTGTCCCGCCGGACATGCATCACCCAACCTGCCACAAGGAAAAACACGCCGTCTCCTCGTTGAGCACGCAAGGAGACGGAGTGCTTTATTACCTCGCCCGGGCCCTGACGCAGCTTCGGCTTTACACTCCGTCGGCAATTGCATCTCGCGGCCCGTAGTGACTGGTACAGGATAGAGTTTGCAGACTCAATCATGAGCAGGATAGATCCTCCACGAGGCAAATTATTCTTGAATAAGATACTGCACTCCAAGGGCGCCTGCGATACCGGAGGTCGGGAATGAGGAGTTTGGGTGGACTGAACCTTGTACCGTTGTCTGGCATGGAAGCCGAGGACGCGATGACAATGGCCCCCTCCAGCGCTCTGCGTCTCGCTCTGTATGCCAGTGTGTCTCTCAGTCTATTCCTTGTAGATTTCTCCTCACATCCCTCGCCACCACACGTACTGCATCTCAATGTCTGAGCACCACGGATCGGACCCACTCTCAGTCGACAGACCGTCTCAGCCGCTCCCGGAGCACGACCCCGTGACTTCCGAAGGAGAGCTCCCCGCGGGAGCAGAACCAGGCGAGACCGTCAGTACCTTGTCCCTGCTCGCTCTGGCGATATCTGACGAGTTCATCCCCGTAGAAAGATGGACCGGAAGTAGAAAAGACGCCACAAACCCGCCCGGAGATGCCTCCTGAAGTTGATCTCTATGTACGTGTTCCATACTGTTTATTTGCACTCCCATAACAGTCATCTAGGATGTGTTTTGGAAGAGAGACGAAGTATACACACAAGAAGAAACGACCAAGGCATGGTCGGATGCTGCGGGGATGGTGCAGACATATAGCGACGAGATGATCGAGCGATGGAAGGAGGAGATTGACACCTACCTCGTATTCGTACGTCGTCATACGATCGCCTCACATGAATCGACATTGTTAAGCAAGGAGCACTCTCCTAGGCGGGTCTCTTCTCGGCTGTCCTCACCACGTTCAATGTGCAATCGTACCTCCTACTCCAGCCCGCTGCCCCCGATCCCTCCATCGCTGTGTTGCAGCAGATCTCCTCCCAACTCGCGAGCTTCTCAATCCAGCCTCCATTCGTCAACTCGACTCAACCTCCGAGTACCACCCGCACAATTGCGAACACCCCTCCTCCTGTCCCGCGCTGGGCCGTCTGGCTCAACGCACTGTGGTTCTCCGGCCTCATCCTCAGCTTGTCCTCCGCGTCGGTAGGCATAATGGTCAAGCAGTGGCTCAACGAATATAGCAGCGGCGTCTCAGGGACCTCCCGTCCAGTTGCGCGGGTGCGCCAGTATCGCCTAAACAACCTTCGAACGTGGCGCGTCGAGGACATCATCGGTGCCATCCCCATCCTCCTTCAACTCGCCCTGGCACTCTTCCTCTCCGGAATGCTCATCCTCCTCTGGACGCTCCACGACACTGTTGCGGCCATCGCATCGACTCTAGTCGGCCTTCTTGCCGTCTTCACGGTTGTCACTACGCTTCTCCCTCTCGTCAATCCCAAGTGTTCCTATCTCACTCCCCAGATCCGCGCATTCAACACCGCCTGGCAGCCAAAGCGATACGCCTACTGGGTCTGTGATACAATGTCGCGTAAGCGCTGCGGTGTGACCGCGATCCTCACGTACACACGACACAAACTATGCACCTTCTGTCAGCGCATTCGTGTGTACACCTCGTTAGATCACTGGAGATCTCTGTGGCATCGGACACGGGAAACGACTCAACAACTGAGGTCTATATCCTTCCCACCAGAGGCTTGGCAAGAGAGCAAGAAGACATGGCAAGGGCGGGAGCGGTCGACTATCGACAAGCTCGCACGTGTCCTGGACACACAAACCCTCGTTGAAGCGTACAGTACTACTTTATCCCCGGACGCCCTCTCTGCCGCCTCCGTGTGCCTCATGGACTTCCACTGGGACGACGTCGTCGACTACTTCAAACAGCTGCACAAATCGGCCCGAGAGCACTTCGGCCCTGCGGCGGACTCGGTCCAGGGTCCCCTCGGGTTGGGCAATCAACAGAAGCTGCTATGGCTTCAGATCATCTTGTGCATACTTTCGTGGCCTCATCTGCGTCTGTCGGACGATGAAGCGGCTGCCCTAGGTGTCTACTTCTACTGGGGGTTGTGGTCGTCCGGTCTGCATGCGGCCGACACAGGATGGGCAGTGTCTACTTGCAATGCTATTTCCGACCACCTCGAGACCGAGGGTTCTTTCTCTGTGCTGAAGCTCATCGACCAAGGAGGGCTTGGAAGGGCAGGTATACACCTAATGTACAGCGCTATGGGCCCCGAAAAACCTCTAACAAGTGTCTTGCTGCCAGGTGAGATCATCCTTCGTCCTGGAACACTGCATATACTGATGCCATATCCTGACAAGGTGTTACCGGGGCATATCGCCAGGTTCGCCTCAAGCAGTCGCACCTTGCGAAGGCGCCTTCGGACGACACGAAGGACGCTCATACGAAGTACCTGCAAAGTGTCGACCACTTCCTGGAGTGCGCCAATCACGCCTTGAAATCATCCCTCCCCGCCAAGGACCTGGAGCCCGTTCGCGCCTACACGGGGGACGTTCTTGCAGAGCTGACTCACGTTCTGCTCCAAATCTTCGCTGCATACAAGACCCAATTCGTTCAGACCACAGTTGATGCAAGGGCTCTCTTGGACATCATGGAAACACTCGCTAGGAACGTCTCTGACGGTGTACTGCAATGCATATCTGACGACCTCCGCAAGGACATTTTGCGCATGACCGACACACTCTCCCAGCCATATGACTATGACCTCTACTTCTGCGGGAGGGACATACAGCGCTGTTCCCCCGAGCTGAAAGCCAAAATCATTCGCGTCAAAGGCGAGCCGGACACCGAGTATGTACTCATCCACGCCTCCGCATAATGGGTATCTTCTAACAGGCTTCATTATCGATTCAGGACAAAACCTGGTGAATCACCCGCCGACCCCTCGGGAAGTGGGGCTGCT